AGGTCACGATTTGATTCAATAACCTACTCCATTACTATGGTGGTAGTCGTGCTGCTGCTGCTGCTGCGTGGAGAATCCGCCGTGGCTGCATGCTTACTGCGATCCGGTCACACGCACAGCGGCAGCGGGCAAGCGATCATCGCCAACAACATCGTCATCACAGGCCATGATCAATACACCACTCAACACGACATCTCAACACACCACTCAACACGACATCTCAACACACCACTCGACACACCACTCACTACACCACTCACTACACCACTCCACACCCCACTCAACACACCACTCACTAAACCACTCACCACACCACTCACTACACCACACAACACGACATCTCACTACACCACTTACTACACCACTCAACACACCACTCAACACATCTCACTACACCACTCAACACATCTCACTACACCACTCAACACTCCACACACCACTCAACACGACATCTCAACACACCACTCAACACACCACTCACTACACCACTCACCACACCACTCAACACCCCACTCACTACACCACTCAACACTCCACACACCACTCAACACACCACTCAACACACCACTCAACATGACATCTCAACACACCACTCAACACACCACTTACTACACCACTCAACACCCCACTCAACACACCACTCAACACTACATCTCAACACACCATTCACTAAACCACTCACCACACCACTCACTACACCACACAACACGACATCTCACTACACCACTTACTACACCATCCACTACACTACTCATCACGACATCTCACCACACCACTCAACACACCACTCACCACACCACTCACTAAACCACTCAATACACCACTCACCACGCCACTCACCACACCACTCAACACGCCACTCACCACGCCACTCACCACACCACTCAACACACCACTCACCACACCACTCACCACACCACTCACCACACCACTCACCACACCACTCCACATGCCGTCGCGCTCTCTCGTGGTGGTCACGTGAGCCATTCAGCTCCTGGACACGAGCTGAGCTCTTGGATCCGTCCAGGACCTGGGTTCGATTCCCGACTCGGACGCCTTTCCACGTGAAGTGTGTGCCTGCGTGTGTGTGCCTGTGTGTGCCTGTGTGTGTGTGCCTGTGTGTGTGCGTGTGTGTGTGTGTGTGCCTGCGTGTGTATGTTCTCTCGCCCTCTCCTCCTGATCTGGATGGGTTTCCCCCGGGTTCTCCGGTTTCATCCCATAGCAAAAAAAAAGTACAATGTCACTGTCATTGGCCCAAATATCCCAACCCCGTGGACGTTAAAGATGTCATTCAATGAGAGCAGGCCATCGTTTGCCGGCATCATGGTCCAGAATCAGAATATGCATTTATACTGGAAGAATCCGATAAGCTATAAAGCGTTTTTCTTCACAGATGTCCAGAAACTATTTTCAGATGTCCAAATGTGGCAGGCTTCAAAAATACCCGCAGATTACTCGACTGGGATCGCGCGCACAGCGGCAACATCGCCGCCCCCCCCCCCCACCGCACCCCCTCGACTGCAAAGACGCGGCAGAACCCTCCTAAAGAACGAGTCTCGACACTCGGCGCTCCTCTCTCCTGCTGTGCACGCGGGCGGAGTCGAGACTCAACAACACCGCCACGGGAGTGCGTGCGGGCGAGGGGGCGAGGGGGCGTCAACGCGACACACGAGTTGGTTGTTTGCGCTGCGAGAGATCAGCGATAAATCTTTACCGTCTTGTTAGTGCAGCCGGTTAGAAATACCCGACCCTCGGGGGGGACGTGTGGGTGGGGGGGCTTGTGGGTGGGGGGGGGCTTGTGGGTGGGGGGGCGTGGGAGTGGGGGTGGGCCGTGGGGGTGGGCCGTGGGGGTGGGCCGTGGGGGTGGGGGGGGGCGTGCGAGTGGGGGGTGTGGGGGGGGGCACGTGCTCACAGCGGCTCTTGTTAATTTTCTGTGACGGTGGGGGGCCGAGCGAGATGATGGCGGTGGTAACGAACCGCGCCCATTCCGTTTTGAAGGTCACGGTGGGGATGTTTCTATCTTGGTCGCGAGCGCCCTCCGCTCGCTGACGCGGATTCCGCACGGCTTACGGCTGCTTTGTCAAATCCCTAAAAAGGAATAAAATATCTATATACCCACTGGACCCACAGGGTTTACATTCGATCCATAGACTTACATCGGACTGACAGAATTACGTAGAACCCATAGACTTAGGTAGGACCCATCAACTTACCTAGGAAAATGTTGACTTATATAGGACCACATAGACTTCCATAGGACCCAGACACTTACAAAGTGAAATATTGACTTACAACGAATCATATCGACTTACATAGAACCCAGACACTTAAAATGCACTGCCAAACTCGCGTAGGTCTCAGACTTTTCTAGGACCACGTAGGCGTACGTAGAACAGCCTTACACGATGCTACGGACCTACATAGCAATCGTAGTCTCTGTCAGTCTGTCTCGGGTCACTGGGGTTCAAAGCGCAGTGCTCGCTAACCACTCATCCAAGACCCACGACCTTTATATTCCGAATGGCATCATTCACTCTTAAATCCGAGTTGCATTGCAAAACGACGAGCATCACTCATCGAAACACAACCAAAAAAAATCCGGTTCATCTCGCGTTGTTTTTTCTTCCAGACAGCCCACGAAGTGTTAGCGAATCCCATTGATTTATCGCAAGCATCTTTGGACGCCGCTCGCTGTCGGCGGAGCGAAACCGCATTAGCGGTGCGCAGAGCGTCCCCGCTGGAACAGCCCGGGCTGGTAATGTCCTCCACTCGTTGTGGGGGCTCTAGATGATGGGACCGCGCGATATGAAGCACCTCATGATCACCACTTCTCTCCGCGTCTCTCGCTCTCTCGGTGGGTGAGTGGGGAGGGGGCTCCGTGCGGCGAGATGCGCGCTGTTACTGACATCAGTCTCAGAATGAGAATCGGGACTTCAATTCCCGTCGGCTCGAGGCCGTGGTGCTAAAAATCTTTTGCTCAAGGGCAACTCGGGCTGGCAGACAACATAAAAGCATTCCACAATTACAGATTTACAACAACAACAATCATTGGATGATAATAGCAATTACGTTGTAAAATGACTTTCACACTTAAAATGTACTGACTTTAATAATAGAGTCAGTTGAAATGAGGACAGAGATGGCAGAATGGAGATGCCAGGAGACGAAACGAGGTGGTTCACTCAGTGCTGTTGATGAATTCAATGATGTTGATACATTCAGCGCTATTGATCTAAATTATGCGTGGAATCTGTGAATTGACAATCAGACGTAGATGTTTAGGATTGTCCGATGGCAATAAAAACAACAACAGGTCAGATAAATAGATAGCAGATCCAGTGGACACTCTCCTTGTGAATGAGAAGAGCCTTACAGTGAAATGTCTTCTCAAGTTGCGCCGTTAGCAGCAGAAGCAGCGCTTTGATTTCTCGCTGAATATTTTTTTGTTATTTCTCTCCGCGTCGTTGCTACGTCTGGACTGGCGCTGGCTCGGTGGCACGCAACACTTGGTTACGTACGGTGTGAAAGAAGTTTAACAAACGTGCAACGTGGTGTGCCGAGTGCGGCCTCTTTGTCCCCCTGGTCTTCGGTCGACTTTAAGAGGTGGCACGTGGCTTCTGGCAGCCACACCGCCACACGCAGTGGGAGAGATATGATGGATGTGATGAGTGTTGGAAAGGTTCTGCACAAGACCCAGCTGAAATGAAACCCTGGTTGTCTGTAATGGGTTCAGTGCTGTCACCAGAAGCCGCTACATTCACTTAAATGTGTTCATTTTAAAAAAGAGCGTCGATTATTGTTGAATTGCAAAGCTGAATCGTGACTGCCCCATTGCACAGAGAGCCTTGGAAGGTTTCCCGCTCGACCCACGCGAGAGACCCGGCTGGAATGAAACTCTGGTTCGCACCTCTGGTTCGAAAGAGGGACAGAATTAATGAATTAATTAATTGGTGTGGAAGGAGGGGAGGAGAGCGGCCCGTGGAGACATGGACCCCCCCCCCCCCTGCCCACCGTTCCGAACGCTAATCCGCGCCGACTCGGAACATCATGTTCCCGCACTCCATCGCGAGAAGCGGTCCCTCCAAGCAGCAGCAGCAGCAGCGAGCAACATTCGCTCCTCCGGGGCTGCACGCGCCACAGAGACGGTGACATTCACGCCGCCCGGCTCTCAAGAGACACCCTCCTCCTCCTCCATGCGACAGCGTCGAGGGGCTGCGGCGTGGGCCGGACGTGGCCCCCCCTCCACTGGCTCGGCTGTAGCCTTGACCGAGTAGCCGAGTTCCATTTGTAAGCGTCAGCATCGGGCGAGGTATGGTCGAGGAGTTTGGGGAGACACTCTCGTTACCGCCTTGTTCAGATCGCGTGTCCCCTGCAGGCCAGAAGACTGAAAACTACGACTCATTTTACTTGACCACGTAAGGCCCACAGAAGTGATGTGGCCACAAATGAGCTCAACGAAGTGGCTCATCGCGTGGAAATGTGCAGCAAACCACACAATTAAAACGCGTGATGTCGATTCTAAATGTGGAGGGGACAACGGGAGGACCCGGAAAAAAATCCACGCGACCACGGGGAGAGCGACACGCAAACTCCGAATACACAGCAGCAGCAGCAGCAGGCGTCAGGGTCGGGATCGAGCCCACGACCTCCTGTACACCAGGCGAGGTAGTTAACATCACTGCCGTGGCGCCCCGAAGTGGGGTGTCTGTGTGCTCGTGTGTTGCGGGGAGCCAGCAGCCACGTGGTTAGCGCGCTGCGCTCTGCACCCGGCGACCCGAGTTCGATTCCAGCTCACGGCCAACATCGATGACGAATATATAACCCGCTGTTTCGACTCGGCGAGATCGACAACAGCACGGGGGAGACAAAGGCGGCGGGCGCCGTGTTTGGCCACACCGCGCCCCGGACTTCGAAGCTTCTCGCTCACGGCGCTTTGCTCGTCAGTGCGGGGGGGGGGGATGTGGATCTTTGTCTTCTTTGTGTGTCCGCGTGTGTCTCAGAAGCCGGAGGAGGAGGCGGTGGTCGACAGGGGCGGCACTCGCTCCGTCCTCACCACCAACTTTGAGAAGGAGGAGCTCGAAGGTGAGCACGTCGCCGCGTCCACTCACTCACTTACTCACGCACGCACGCACTCACGAACTCACGCACTCACGCACTACGCACTCACTCACGCACTCACTCACGCACGCACTCACGAACTCACTCACTCCATCACTCACTCACGCACTCACTCACGGGCTCACTTACTCACGGACTCACTCACGCACTCACTCACTCACGCACTCACTCACTCACTCGCGGACTCACTCACGCACTCACTCACGCACTCACTCACCCACTCACTTACTCACTTCATCACTCCGCACTCACTCACGGACTCACTCACGCACGCACTCACGCAGTCACTCACGGACTCACTCACGCACTCACTCACGCGCTCACGCACTCACGCACTCACTCACTCACGCGCTCACGCACTCACTCACGCGCTCACTCACTCACGCACTCACTCGCTCACGCGCTCACTCACTACGCACTCACTCACTCGCTCACGCACTCACTCACTCACGCGCTCACTCACTACGCACTCACTCGCTCACGTACTCACTCGCTCACGCGCTCACTCACTACGCACTCACTCGCTCACGCACTCACTCGCTCACGCGCTCACTCACACACGCACTCACGCACTCACTAAACGCACTCACACATTCACTCACTGACGCACGCACTCACGCACTCCCTCACTCCATCACTCACTCACGCACTCACTCACTCACTACGCACTCACTCACGCACTCACTCACGCACTCCCTCACTCCATCACTCCATTACTCACTCACGCACTCACTACGCACTCACTCAGTCACGCACTCACTCACTACGCACTCACTTTGCATGCGGTGCGTTTGAGACCGGACTCGGTTGGTCCATTCGCTTCCCGGGGCGGGCGGGCAGGGTTGTGGGCGGGGTTGTGGGCGGGGGGGGTCACGCACTGACGGGGAGCGAGACGTGAAAGCTGAAACTATTACCCCCCACACACCCACACACACCGCAATGGTTTCATCCCAAACGCGTACGAATCGCTTCTCAAAATCGTCCTGACGGCACGGCCCATCGCTCCATCCTACCAATGTTTACATGTGATCCAGCCCCCTCCAATCTGCTGAATTGATTATAATGATCCAGGTAGGGGAGGGAGGGGGCTGAGGAAGCTCAGCTCCCTCCAGACCCCTCCCCCTGATACCCACCCCCTCCCCCCAGACGCGACGTTGGCTGAGCTGTTAGGAGAATTGAGAGGCGCTGTGCATTACGCGCGAGTGTAACGTGAGTGTTTGATGAGTGACTGTGCTCTGACAGGCGATGACTTTACCGCTCCTCCTGTGTCGGGCTAAGCGGCTTCCCTACACTCCCCTCCCGCTGTCGCTGCTGCTGCTGCTGAAGGCAACTTGCATAGCGCGCCGTCCAGTGCGCTCGCGTTATCGTCACAAGGTGCCGTTCGAACGAACGTAACAATCTCAAACGGCGCAATTGACAGGCGTTCAAAACAATGGGTGAAGGCGCAGCCCTGCAATTGCTCGCTCGCGCCACCGCCAACGGGAAAGGTCTCAGCCCGAGGTCGCCGTGGAGAGCCCCTCTCCAGAGGGTATTTGGCCTGCTCTTCCACGCTGGGTTGTGCGTCTTGGAAGCGGTCGGAGTACCCACGCTTTACCCCAGCTATCGGCTCACTACGGTGTTACCATTTCTACCGCTGGCTGTACACAGAGGGCACCCCATTGCTGCAATTGCCGCACCGCGACTTGAAGATATTTCAGCGGTAGTTCTGTGATGTCCGATTCCGTGGGCCACCCTCCAACAAGAAGAGTTAATCATTCTCTGCGAGAGTTCAGAATGGAATGCCGACAACACAATCGGGAATGAAAGTGATGATACATTGATACATAATTAGAGTTAAATAAAACATTAAGGGGATGGTTCGTGCGGTGTTGCCGAATTTGTCAAATTTTTGCAAGAATAAAAAATGTTCACGATTCCATCACTGGCAACGGAGTGGCAGGCAGATGTGAGGCGCTCCAGCTGATGTGTCGAGTGTGAATGTGGCAAAGACATCACCGCACAGAGATTATTAATAAACACAAGATAAGCATAACGGATAAGGAAGAGTTACACACTCTAGTCGTCTTGTGTGCTACATAACTGTTTAATCGAGCCTCCAATGTACGAAAACTGCGCGCTCGTGACAGTGTATAAGAGTTGCGCGTTCATAAGCAGGACTACGATAGGAATCTTGCCATACAGTGCATAGCTATGAAGAAGGTGCATTGCCAGAAACGTCACCTATTAAATATTTTTTACTTTAAGGCCACAGTGTTATTGACGAATGTGTTGGCTGTGCTCATGTCCTCAAACGCTAAGGAGTGTTTTCTTTGCACACCTGGTAAGAAACTGGATAAAACCCCATTCACGGGCCACTTTCCTGCCGGCAGTGACACAAGCGGGCAATTGCAGGGATGCGCCTTTACCCTACCTGGAACCCGCTGGAGACAGCTCGGCAGTTCCTAGATTGGGGTTACTTGGGGTCAGCCAGAGACTCGGCTCGCGCGTGATTAGGGAATGGGTTCAGGTAAATAAGGTCACGAAAGGTCGCTTGTGGAATTTACATAATTAAAAGAAGATTAGGCCACCGCACGCTCGCGAGAGAGAAACAATTTTACGTTGAATATGAATCAATTTTGCATCAACGTTCATAAATAATAAACCTTCTTATTCTCATTTTGGCCGGCGATTTAAGAACGCAAGCTCATAAGCCGCTGAATTCACGATTATCGTACAAATGTGACAATCATGCTGATGTCGAGTAAAGCTACATTTTTTCCCAGGTTTTTTTTTCATTACACATTATTAAATAGTTCACTGGTGTTAATTCTCATGATTGCGAAAAGTGAGATTTGTCGAACAAAGCCAATGATACAGCACCCTGTCCCGCAGCGACAGTCAAATCTGATTATGGTCATTTCATGGGAAGTGGGAACGCCGATTGACGTTGTCCATTGTGCCGTTTGCACTTTAAACCTACTCCCGATCGTTCCGAGTCTTGGTTCGATCGCCCTTCCTCCCTCTCCCTCCCTCTCTCTCTCGCCGTGATGTTTGATTTGTGGCGATCATTCTTGGACAGGTTGACTTACTAGGCTCGGCCCGAGGTCTTCCGCTGCTCATTGCATCCCAACTGACCCTGTGTGTCTATGCGACCTTTGGCCAATCAGTTTCCAAGACAATGCACACATTAATATCAGAGCGCGTTTGTTCGCAATGTTTTGCCACGGGTACTGCGTGCGGTTAATGCAGACGTGTGATGCCTTGCAAAAGGTTTCTATTTGGGGGTTTGGACATCTTAACGCCTCCCGCTTTATTGCCAGAAAATGGTCGGACTTGTTCTACTCCTGCGTGGCCCGAACGAGGCCGGGTGGCTCAGAGGATCGGAGCGCCGAAGCGGCGCTGCTGCTGCTGCTGCGAATGTTGCGTTTGAACCTGGGTGGCCAGGCTCTTGTGGTTTAACTCGGGGGGGGGGGTGTTCTCAGGAGTAGTGAGTTGGTGGTCTCCAGCCTGGTCACCAATGACTACACCGCAAACAAAAACATCGCGTTACATTTGGCTCTGCGCTTAATTTGGCGACATTCCAGCTCTGGGCATGAAAAGTCGCATGCCGGAGTGACTGCGATGCGAAGGGACGCGACTCCGCTCAAGACGTAGCGGAGCACCAGAGGGCACTCGCAAGGAAACCTCTGACACCGAGGGTTGCACTGCTCCGTGAGACTTCCAAATGGATTCTTCGTCTCATGCTCGAGTTGTAAGTTGATTTGTTTTTGTTTAAAACCCCGGTGAGAACTCGCGAGAGACCAGGATAGAGTCTTATTGTCAAGCGTGACCTGGATTGGCAATAGCACAATCAGAACAGCATTGCAGAACGAGACAGGAAACAACCACCTGATCGCCTGCTCTCTCTCTCTCTCATTATTTATTCTGTTTGTTTTGTTGCTGTCGTCGTCATTCAGAATGGGTGAATTATTTTTCAATCGTCGTTTCGCCGGGGCTCGGAACGGCCGCACACACAGAGGCGCCGGCCCCGTTGACCTTTCGAGCGACCCCGCGCCGCGCGTTGATGCCAACCGAGCGCCCTTGGGCACCGGGCGACTCCTCCGAGCCCGGGGCCCGACATTTGGTTACCCGGCGAAAGCAATTCGTGCCCTCACCCCCACCCACCCCACGGTGACTCGGCTGAATGTCGCCACCTCTCACACGGCCACTGTTAATTTGGTTGCCTTTTTATACCCCCCCCCGCTACCCCCCATCCAACCCCCCACCCCCGATCCAACCGCCCCTGGCCCCACAACTACAAAGAGAGAGAAATGATTATGTGCCGTCGCACACACGGCCCCCCCCCACCACCACACCCCCCACCACCACACCACGAGGGCTTGACTTGCCCGGGACGGTTAGCGCCGCCACTCGATGCGGCGGTGCGGGGGGGGGCAGCGGGGATGGGGGGGGGGTGACTCAGCCCATCATTCCTCCAGGGTCGATACAACTTCAATTCGACTGCCACTCAATGGGGATATCAGCAGTGGCTGCAGGGCTACAGATAGTCAGAATCACAATATTTATTTATAACTGGAGGAATCCGACGAGCTATACATCTCTTTTTCACAGATGTCCAGCAGGCTCGCCCCCCGCCATAGGAATGTCCAATTTCCACCACTGGCTCAGCAGGGCTACAAACGGGAGTTGAGCACCAATGCCTCAACGCTCATTGACTCTGTCCATGTTGTTAATCGCAATGCAACCCAGGGGCGCCGAGGTCCCGTCTGCTGCCCGCCAGGGGGAGTGGCAGCTGGGTGGGTGGGGGGGCGATGGGTGGGTGGGGGGGCGATGGGTGGGTGGACAATGGGTGGGTGGGTGGGGGGGCGATGGGTGGGTGGGCAATGAGTGGGTGGGGGGGGCGATGGGTGGGTGGGCAATGGGTGGGTGGGCAATGGGTGGGTGGGTGGGGGGGGGCGATGGGTGGGTGGACAATGGGGGGGGGCGATGGGTGGGTGGGCGATGGGTGGGTGGGGGGGCGATGGGTGGGTGGGGGGCGATGGGTGGGTGGGTGGGGGGGCGATGGGTGGGTGGGTGCGAGGACGAACGCCGCCTCGGTCGACTCAGCCTCAAATGAGTACCTAAGTGCTGCGTGTATAAACGTCGCCACTGGGGAGACGAAGGCGGTCGGGTGTGGTGCTGGCCACCCACCCCCTCGTGTAATCGTTCCGGCCTTCATAGGTGCTCGCTTAACAGCACTTGCTTACAGCACTTTTCGTAACGGTCTGTCAAGGCTACGCGGGGTGGGGGGGGAGTCTTTGTGTTTGCAGTGAGCGCGGTGCGCGTGCTCCCTCTGCTGGGATGGGGCGTGGGGAGCTCCGTGTGGCGGGGTTCGGGTTTGCCGTCGGCTCCACGCTGAGCCAGCAACGCCGAGTGCCTGAGTTCGAATCCCGGGTTTCAGCCACGGCCTGTCATTAAACCGGGGTTCCTCGAGTGCAGCTAATGGCTTCAGCCTGGTTCCAGTAGACTGCACACGTTCAACCATTAAATTAAGTTCTGCATCTTCTTGGTTCTTTCGGTAAAGTCACGTAGAATGGAAATAATAAAATATTAAAAATAAAACATAAAATAATTCTCACGACGTTTCGGCCACAACGCAAGCAGCCGTCTTCAGGTGAAGAACAGGTCTGTCGAGAAGACAGTCTGAATGACACACTCCAGGCTTGGAGCGACTATTCTTCACCTGAGGACGGCTGCTTGCGTTGTGGCCGAAACGTCGTGAGAATTATTTTATTATGTTTTATTTTTATTATTTTATTATTTCCATTCTACGTGACTTTACCGAAAGAACCAAGAAGATGAATCCCTGCAGTCACGAAAGCTTTAAATCGAAATTTAAGTTCTGCACTTATTTTGGATTAACTTCAGTTAGGGGCCGTCCATAAATGACGTCACGCGGGAGAAATGTGACGTCACATAAACATGCGCAAATTAAAATAAATATGTAATTGTTATAACAACACTAATTGTTATAACAACACTCCTACAACATCAGAGTGCAGCGCCACATTAAATACGCACTACAATGACAATAGTTTAAAGCGATTTGAAGCATGTTTTATTTTCAAAATGGGAATATGGTTTTGGGGGGGGGGCAGAGCTTCGTGACGTCATATTTGAGGGGGGGCTGACTTTTTGTGACGCCGTGTGACGAGGGGTGGGGTCAAAAATCGTCCAAAATTGCGTGACGTCATTTATGACGGCCCCTTATATGAATTACAAATGTTGGTTTGATGTCAAGCGACGAGCAATACTCTCATATGGCGGAGCGGGTGGGAAGATGCTGCCTTCTACCGTGTGTGGACCAGAGGTGAATTGAAAAAGAGATCTGAGAAGTAGCTCTGGCATATCCGCTTCCGTGGAGCGTTCTCTCACACGATCGGTGGCACTGCGAGAGATCTAATCGGATATTTCATCTCAGGGGCACGGCGCACATCATACTGCAATGGCAGAAAAAGGTTTTGCTGGCTGATGGGAGGGAGGAAATGCTCACGTGTTTAAATTGAAAACTCATTTCTTCAAGTGCTGTCTTTTGTGTTTAGTTTGTTGTCTTCCCCCCGCACCTCCGATTAGCACGGTTGACTACGTACGGTGCGAAAGAAGTTCTACATCTGTCGGTGGATATTTATTTAAAAACTAAAAATATATTTATTTTTTGCACGCGAATTTCACGTAAATGCCAGGAGGCATTGCGGTGCATGTGCAGTCCGCAAGTGAATGAGTGTGTGCGCCGTGCCGGCCTCAAAATCGGTACATTCGCGCACAGCACTCCCCCCAACGGCTACACGGGGGACCTTTGTTGTTGTTGTTTGTTGTTGTTGTTTGTTGTTGTGCTGAGCAGCCCACCGCGCCATCTACGTGGGCGTCCACGTGCCGCTGGGCCACCGCAGCCACCGGCGTCACCACCGGCACGGCCACCGCCACCACCGGCGCCGCGAGAAGGGGAAGGACGCGGCCGCCGAGGGGGACGAGGAGGAGGAGGCGCAGAGCTTCGTGGGCCGCGAGGGTGAGCGGTGGAGCTGGGGTGGGGGGGTGTGTGGGGGGGTGTGGGGGGTGTGTGGGGGGGGGTGTGTGTGGGGGTGTGTGTGGGGGTGTGTGGGGGGGGTGTGTGAGGGGGTGTGTGGGGGGGGTGTGTGGGGGGGTGTGTGGGGGGGTGTGTGGGGGGGTGTGTGGGGGGGTGTGTGGGGGGGTGTGGGGGGGTGTGTGGGGGGGTGTGTGGGGGGGGTGTGTGAGGGGGTGTGTGGGGGGGGTGTGTGGGGGGGTGTGTGGGGGGGTGTGCGGGGGGGTGTGCGGGGTGGTGTGCGGGGGGTGTGCGGGGGGGTGTGCGGGGGGGTGTGCGGGGGGGTGTGCGGGGGGGTGTTGGGGTGTGTGGGAGGGTGTGGGGGTGTGCGGGGGGAGGGTGTGGGGGTGTGCGGGGGGAGGGTGTGTGGGGGTGTGGGGGGGTGTGTGGGGGGGTGTGGGGGGGTGTGTGGGGGGGTGTGTGGGGAGGGTGTATGGGGAGGGTGTGCGGGGGTGTGGGTGGGTGGTGGGTGGGTGGGGGTGTGGGGGTGTGTGGGGGGAGGGTGTGTGGGGGTGTGGGGGGGTGTGTGGGGAGGGTGTATGGGGAGGGTGTGGGGGGTGTGTGGGGAGGGTGTGGGTGGGTGGTGGGTGGGTGGGGGAGCGGTCGTGTCGTGGTTAGTGCTCTGCGCTACGAGCCCGATCACCCGAGTTCGATTCCCGCTCACGGCCAACATTGGTGACGATTATCTGAACCGGTCCTGGGCCTCCACTAGGTCGACTCAGCCTCAAATAAGTATCTGGTGCGATGTGCAAACATCGCCACTGGGGAGACAAAGGCGGCCGGGCGTGGTACCGGCCACCCAACCCCTCGTGTGCCGTGTCGGCTTTCATAGGTGCTGGCTAACAGCACTTGCCCCAAACAGCCCGTTGAAGGCTACACGGGGGATCTTTGTCAATTTTAACGAAATCACAGCGTGTTGACACCGTCGAGATTTCGCCGGATGCATCTCACGGTCACCAAGTTTTGAGTGGCTGCTGCTGTTGTTGTTGTGTTCATGGGGAGCAGTGGTGCAGTGGTTTGTTTACTCGGCGATGGAACCGTCGACTTGGGTTCGATTCCCGGTCGGAGACATCATCAGTCGCAGGGGTGGAGGATGAGGAGGGGGTGGGCGGAGGAGGGGGACAGAGGGGGGAGGGGTATGAGGGGGGGAGGGGTAGGAGGAGGGGGAGGTGTAGGAGGGGGGGGGTAGGAGGAGGGGGAGGGGTAGGAGGGGGAGAGGAGTAGGAGGGGTCGGAGGGGGGGTACAGAGGGTAGGAGGGGTAGGAGGGGGCAGAGGGGGGGAGTCGCGTGATGAGGAGCGGAGAGAGGGAAGTGGAGAGGAGTGAGGAGGAGGGGGTGAGGGGGTGAGGAGGGTGTGGAGGGTAAGGGGAGTAGGTGATGAGGAGGGGGGAGATGATGGGGAAGGCAGATGAGGGGGAAGAGTGATGAGCAGGGAGACGGTGAGTGTGTGGATGAGTGAGTGGCTCTGTGTGAGTGAGTGTGATAGACGTGGTGAGCGAGTAGGAGTGGGGGTGTGTGAGTGGTAATTAGATGGTGAGTGAGTGTATCTGTGTGAGCGTCTCTGTGTGTGCGTGTCTGTGTGTGAGTGTCTCTGTGTGTGTGTCTCTGTGTGAGTGTCTCTGTGTGTGAGTGTCTCTATTTGTGTGTGTGTCTATGTGTGTGCGTGTCTCTGTGTGTGAGTGCCTCTGTGTGTGTGTGTCTCTGTATGAGTGTGTGTCTCTGTGTGTGTGTCTTTGTGTGAGTGTCTCTGTGGGTGAGTGAGTGTCTCTGTGGGTGAGTGAGTGTCTCTGTGTGTGTGTGTCTCTGTGTGTGTGTGTCTCTGTGTGTGTGTGTCTCTCTCTGTGTGTGTGTGAGTCTCTGTGTGAGTGTCTATGTGTGTGTGTGTCTCTGTGTGTGTGTCTCTGTGTGTGTGTCTCTGTGTGTGTGTGAGTGTCTCTGTGTTAGTGTTTCTGTGTTAGTGTTTCTGTGTGAGTGTGTGTCTCTGTGTGAGTGAGTGGTAATGAGGTGGTGAGTGAGTGCCACGCCGAGGGCTTCCCAGCATCAGAGCATTTTCGCGCTTTCGATTCAAATCCACCAATTCAAAGGCGAATCAATCCCCAAGCGAAGCTCAACGAGAGAGGCGCGATGAACCGAGAACTCTCCGTCGGAGCCGCCACACATCCCAGGGACAAATCCGCACGATCAATGATCAGGCCCCGAGTCCTCCGGGCAGGTGCGCTCAGCGGAAGACGCACGCGGCGACTAATTGGTTCTTCCTCCCTTCCTGTTGTCACGTGCCGTGCAGGTGGCGCTCACAATTAATTCGCGTGCGGGCGGCACGGCGCTGGTTGCTAGGGGGAACCTTTTTTTTAATATTTGTGCCATTGAGCCATGGAAACCACAGGAGGCGGTAAGTCGGGGAGCACGAGCGAGCACAGACGACGTTTCGCGCCCCCCCAGCCCGCACCCGCAGGCGGAGTCGAACCTCCTCCTCCTCGGCGCGGTGCGTACGGGCAGTTGTGGTGGCGGCGGCGTTGGCTGGCGGTTGGTGGTGGTGGTTGTTGTTGAACTTCTTTCGCACCGTACGTATAGCCAACCGTGCTAATCGGAATAGCGGTTGGTGGTGGGGGTGCTGGCGACTGGTGGTGGACAGGGGAAGAGGTGGTGGCGGTGATTGGTGGCAGTTGTCGTGGTTAGTGAGTGGTGGTGGTGGTTGTAGTGGTTAGTGAGTGGTGGTGGTGGTTGTAGTGGTTGGTGAGTGGTGGTGGTGGTTGTAGTGGTTAGTGATTGGAGGTGGTTGTAGTGGTTAGTGAGTGGTGGTGGTTGTAGTGGTTAATGAGTGGTGGTGGTTGTAGTGGTTAATGATTGGAGGTGGTTGTAGTGGTTAGTGAGTGGTGGTTGTAGTGGTTAATGAGTGGCGGTGGTTGTAGTGGTTAGTGAGTGGTGGTGGTTGTAGTGGTTAGTGAGTGGTGGTGGTTGTAGTGGTTAGTGAGTGGTGGTGGTTGTAGTGGTTGGTGAGTGGTGGTGGTGGGTGTAATGGTGAGTGGTGGTGGTGGTTGTAGTGGTTAGTGAGTGGTGTGGTTGTAGTGGTTAGTGATTGGAGGTGGTTGTAGTGGTTAGTGAGTGGTGTGGTTGTAGTGGTTAGTGAGTGGTGGTGGTTGTAGTGGTTGGTGAGTGGTGGTGGTTGTAGTGGTTGGTGAGTGGTGGTGGTTGTAGTGGTTAGGGATTGGTGGTGGTTTTAGTGGTTAGTGAGTGGTGGTGGTGGTTGTAGTGATTAGTGAGTGGTGGTGGTGGTTGTAGTGGTTGGTGAGTGGTGGTGGTTGTAGTGGTTGGTGAGTGGTGGTGGTGTAGTGGTTGGTGGTGGTGGTTGTAGTGGTGAGTGGTGGTGGCGGTTGTAGTGGTTGGTGATTGGTGGTGGTGGTTGTAGTGGTTGGTGAGTGGTGGTGGTTGTAGTGGTTGGTGAGTGGTGGTGGTTGTGGTGGTTGTAGTGGTTGGTGAGTAGTGGTGGTTGTAGTGGTTGGTGAGTAGTGGTGGTTGTAGTGGTTGGTGAGTGGTGGTGGTTGTAGTGGTTGGTGAGTGGTGGTGGTTGTAGTGGTTGGTGAGTGGTGGTGGTTGTAGTGGTTGGTGAGTGGTGGTGGTTGTGGTGGTTGTAGTGGTTGGTGAGTGGTGGTGGTTGTAGTGGTTGGTGAGTGGTGGTGGTTGTAGTGGTTGGTGAGTGGTGGTGGTTGTAGTGGTTGGTGATTGGTGGTGGTTGTAATGGTTGGTGAGTGGTGGTGGTTGTGGTGGTTGTAGTGGTTGGTGAGTGGTGGTGGTTGTAGTGGTTGGTGAGTGGTGGTGGTTGTGGTGGTTGTAGTGGTTGGTGAGTAGTGGTGGTTGTAGTGGTTGGTGAGTGGTGGTGGTTGTAGTGGTTGGTGAGTGGTGGTGGTTGTGGTGGTTGTAGTGGTTGGTGAGTAGTGGTGGTTGTAGTGGTTGGTGAGTGGTGGTGGTTGTAGTGGTTGGTGAGTGGTGGTGGTGGTTGTAGTGGTTGGTGAGTGGTGGTGGTGGTTGTAGTGGTTGGTGAGTGGTGGTGGTTGTAGTGGTTGGTGAGTGGTGGTGGTTGTGGTGGTTGTAGTGGTTGGTGAGTGGTGGTGGTTGTAGTGGTTGGTGAGTGGTGGTGGTTGTAGTGGTTGGTGAGTGGTGGTGGTGGTTGTAGTGGTTGGTGAGTGGTGGTGGTGGTTGTAGTGGTTGGTGAGTGGTGGTGGTGGTTGTAGTGGTTGGTGAGTGGTGGTGGTTGTGGTGGTTGTAGTGGTTGGTGAGTGGTGGTGGTTGTGGTGGTTGTAGTGGTTGGTGAGTGGTGGTGGTTGTGGTGGTTGTAGTGGTTGGTAAGTGGTGGTGGTTGTGGTGGTTGTAGTGGTTGGTGAGTGGTGGTGGTTGTAGTGGTTGTGGTGGTTGGTGAGTGGTGATGGCGGTGTGGAGCAGGAGGTGTTGTGGATGCCTCCTGCCCCCGTCGCCCTGCCTCTCAAAGCGGAGCCGCTGGGCAGTGGGGGGCTGACCCGTGGGGGGCCCTAAGCCGAAATAACTTTTTGGGGGTCCCCCTTTCCGTTTATAATGTGCTGTGTGTGTACTGCTGTGTGTGTACTGCTGTGTGTGTGTACTGCTGTGTGTGTACTGCTGTGTGTGTGTATGTGTACTAGTGTGTGTGTACTGCTGTGTGTGTACTGCCGTGCGTGTGTACTGGTGTGTGTGTACTGCTGTGTGTGTGTACTGCTGTGTGTGTGTGTACTGGTGTGTGTGTACTGCCGTGCGTGTGTACTGGTGTGTGTACTGGTGTATGTGTGTATGTGTACTGGTGTGTGTGTACTGCTGTGTGTGTACTGGTGTGTGTGTACTGCTGTGTGTGTGTACTGCTGTGTGTGTACTGCTGTGTGTGTACTGGTGTGTGTGCGTGTGTACTGGTGTGTGTGTACTGCTGTGTGTGTACTGCCGTGCGTGTGTACTGGTGTGTGTGTGTATGTGTACTGGTGTGGGTGTGTATGTGTACTGGTGTGTGTGTACTGGTGTGTGTGTACTGCTGTGGGTGTGTACTGGTGTGTGGGTGTGTGTACTGCTGTGGGTGTGTGTGTACTGGTGTATGTGTACTGCTGTGGGTGTACTGGTGCGTATGTACTGGTGTGTGTGTGTGTGTACTGGTGTGGGTGTAATGAGCGGCTCCGGTTTGACAGCAGAGGTTTCACTCCGAATCAGTCGAGCGGCAATATCTTTTCATTGGTTGCGTAACGCTGTGTGGAAGCTACCTGGTCTGTCGCTCCGCACGAAGCTTCAGGTCTTCTTGCCCACAGTCATTCCCTCCCTTCTCTACGCTTGCTAAACGTGGACCCCCCTAATGGAGCATCTTCGCCGGTTGGAAACATTTAGACTGGCCTGCCTACGATCCATCCTGGGTGGAACCAGGCTGGATTGTGTGAGGAGCTCACAAATCCTTGAAAGATCTGGGCAAAGTCCCATCGGTGAGCTCCTCCGGCCGGCAAGGCTGCGTTGGCGGGGTCATGTAGTCCGCATGCCCAGCCACCGCATGCCGAAACAGCTTTTGTTCGGCCGGATCGAGGGGGCTAAACGTGCGCGGCACGGGCTAGATAAGAGATGGAGTGATGTAGTACAGGAGGATGTGGAGCTGAGTGGACTTGCCGATGCCCGGTACCAGCGGTGTCAAGATCGGCCTCTGTGGCGGAGGCTCGTGAAGGACGCTGCTGGGCAGTTGGAGGCAGTTGCCCTCCAACAACAACAGAGGGCGGATGAGCGACGCTCACAACAGCGAGCGGAGCGCCGGGTGGCTAAAGCACAGCAAGTTGGCACAGTAGGGGGCACAGGTGGTTCATCGGCCAGTCGACCCGTGGCACCTGGGTCTGTCCCGTGACCTGCCAGCGGGCGTTCGACACTTCACGTGCCTCAATGTGCACCTAGCCTGGCACAAGCGCCGTGGTGACGTCACCGCCACTTAGTGGCGAATGGCGGTTGTTGTTGTGTAACACTGTGTGGTGTGTACTAGTGTGTGTGTGTGTGTACTAGTCTGTGTGTACTGCTGTAATGCTGTGGGTGTACTTTCCCCAACAATCTGTTACAGGCTATACGGGGGGTCTTTGTCTTTTGTGTGTACTGCTGTGTGTGTAATGCTCTGTAATTCCGTGTGAAAAGCCAATTGGAAGCTGTCTCACCCACCAACACGTCTTTGTGAAGAGACAGAGACGCACTGAGATGCGAGACGGAGAGAGATGTGGACGAGGCAGGAGTGTGGTGAGAGCGATGTTAGCACGAGGTGGAGATGAGAGACATTCATTCGCTCTCGATGCTAATTTGCGCGCATGTATGTGCGTATTTGGAACCTTTTTTCGCACCGTACGTAGCCAACCGTGCTAATCGGAGGTGCGGGTGAAGGACAGCAAACTAAACACAAAAGATCTGAACTCGAGATGATTATTGGATCGTGCTGATATTTTCTGTTCCGTGAATTCTGGGGTCCTCCCCAGCTGCTTGGGTGTGGGTGTGGGGTGTATGGTATGGGGGGTATGGGGTGTATGGTATGGGGGATGGGGGTATGGGAGGCGGGGGGTTGGGAGTATGGGGGCCATGGGGGGCGGGGTATGGGGGAGGGTGGGGTGGTGCTGACCTCTCGCAGTGCTCGGCCTCACAGCGACAGGCCCCTGGGTTCGATTCCTGAGTCGCGCTCCTCTCTGTGTGGAGCTGTGATCGTTCGATCGCGCCCTCCCCCCTGTTCTGCATGGGTTTCCTCGGGGTTCTCCGGGTTCCTACCTCCAACGGTTAAAGCAAAACCCTACAGCGTCACTGGCATTGGCCAAGTGTTCAAGTCGATTTAGTGTGGCCACGTGATGTGAACTCCGTAGACCAGGATAGAGGAGTATCATTTGCAAGAGCGGCCTGGGTCTCCAATCACAGTGCAGCAATGAAGCAAAGCAATCTGAACAACAACAAGAAGAACCACTCCATCACACGCGGGATCGAACATCTCTACCTCACTGGTCACGTGACCTTGCATCTCTACCTCACTGGGTCACGTGCCCCTCCATTTCCAGCTGACTGGGTCACGTGTCCCTGCATCTCCAGCTGACTGGGTCACGTGTCCCTGCATCTCCAGCTGACTGGGTCACGTGTCCCTGCATCTCCAGCTCACTGGGTCACGTGTCCCTGCATCTCCTGCTCACTGGGTCACGTGCCCCTCCATTTCCAGCTGACTGGGTCACGTGCCCCGGCATCTCCAGCTGACTGGGTCACGTGTCCCTACATCTCCAGCTCACTGGGTCACGTGCCCCGGCATCTCCAGCTCACTGGGTCACGTGTCCCTACATCTCCAGCTCACTGGGTCACGTGTCCCTACATCTCCAGCTCACTGGGTCACGTGTCCCTACATCTCCAGCTCACTGGGTCACGTGTCCCTACATCTCCAGCTCACTGGATGCGCGTTAAGTGTGTCGAGCAGCAGGGCAGCAGCAGGGCAGCAGCAGGGGCAGTTTCCTTCACAAACACAGAGAGTGACGCGCGCTGCCGTGGTGACTGCCCTGGCTGATTAGGGGTAAATGTCCCAGGAACTGTAGACGATGCAACAGCTGTGATGTTCATCGCGGACTTCGCGTCGCGGCCGTGTGAGCAGAGATAACAGCGCGTGCGTGTGTGCGAGGAGGGGTGACGTAGGTACGTTTGTTGAGCCTCCTTGCATCGTACGTAGCCAACCACGAACCCGGCGACCCGAGTTCTATCCCCGCTCACGATCAATAATAATGGTGAATATGTGAAACAGTCCTGGGCCTCCGCTAGGTCGACTCGGCCTCAAATGAGTGTAAACATCGCCACCAGGGAGACAAAGGCGGTCGGGCGTGGTGCTGGCCACCCACCCCCTCGTGTGCCGCCTTCACAGGTGCTCGCTAACAGCACTTGCCCCAACAGTCTGTTACGGCTACACGGGGGATCTTTGTCTTCGTGTATGCGTAGGCAATTGTGTTCTGAGCTCACAGCGTGTTCCCACGTGGCTTTGTTTATTTTCGTCTTCCAGCGCGTTCACCTGCCAGAGTGTTCACCTGCCAGAGTGTTCACCTGCCAGAGTGTGATCACAAAGAGAGTGCTCACCTGTCAAAGAGCGTGCTCACCTGCCAGAGCGTGCTCACCTGCCAGAGCGTGATCACCTGCCAGAGCGTGATCACCTGCCAGAGCGTAATCACCTGTCAAAGAGAGTGCTCACCTGCCAGAGTGCTCACCTGTCAAAGAGCGTGCTCACCTGCCAGAGTGTGATCACCTGTCAAAGAGAGTGCTCACCTGCCAGAGCGTGATCACCTGCCAGAGTGTGATCACCTGTCAAAGAGCGTGATCACCTGCCAGAGTGTGATCACCTGTCAAAGAGAGTGCTCACCTGCCAGAGCGTGATCACCTGCCAGAGTGTGATCACCTGTCAAAGAGCGTGCTCACCTGCCAGAGCGTGATCACCTGCCAGAGCGTGATCACCTGTCAAAGAGAGTGCTCACCTGCCAGAGTGCTCACCTGTCAAAGAGCGTGATCACCTGCCAGAGCGTGATCACCTGCCAGAGCGTGCTCCCCTGCGTAACAGGACGTCCACTTGCCTCGCGGTGCGCTCACGAGCAGCTGCCCCGATGGGCACTGCGCTGTGGTGTCGACCAGAATGATACTACTACTACTACCGCTTGCCGTCTGCTTCACTCGCAGTGGACGTGAAAGATCCCGTGACGCCGTTCGAAAGAGTTGGCCCTCGTGTGCCGGCGGGCAATTGAGGTGACGCAAAACAGCAGCAGCAGCAGCCGCAATCATCGCCCTCTACTGGCAGCAGACGAAGTGCCCCAGGTCTCCACTGCGAATGAGGCTCATCCTCGCCTCTTAGGGTCTCGCATTGTTAAACGAATACACTTTGACCTGTGCGTGCGTTCCTGTGCGTGCGTTCCTGTGCGTGCGTTCCTGTGCGTGCGTTCCTGTGCGTGCGTTCCTGTGCGTGCGTTCCTGTGCGTGCGTTCCTGTGCGTGCGTTCCTGTGCGTGCGTTCCTGTGCGTGCGTTCCTGTGCGTGCGTTCCTGTGCGTGCGTTCCTGTGCGTGCGTTCCTGTGCGTGCGTTCCTGTGCGTGCGTTCCTGTGCGTGCGTTCCTGTGCGTGCGTTCCTGTGCGTGCGTTCCTGTGCGTGCGTTCCTGTGCGTGCGTTCCTGTGCGTGCGTTCCTGTGCGTGCGTTCCTGTGCGTGCCCGCGTGTGCCCGCGTGTGCGTGCCCCCAGACACCCCGGCGCAGCGCGTGCAGTTCATCCTCGGCACGGAAGATGACGACGAGGAGCACATCCCGCACGACCTCTTCACCGAGATGGACGAGCTGTGCATGCGCGAGGGCGAGGGCGGGGAGTGGAAGGAGAAGGCCAGGTGCAGCGTCGGCATCGGCACTTCCATCTCCACTCTGGCTATTGTCATCGTTACTCTCATCGTCATCAGTGCCACCATCACCGCCACATCACCATAATCAGCAACAGCACCAGTGGCATCGTTATCGCCCCCTTTTGCGTCGACACAAGCGCCGTGGAACATGTGCAGATGGAACAGGCGGAGTGCACATTTTCCCTTCCGCATTCTCCTGGCGAGTCAGGGGTATGGCCGCCCAGTTCGACGTCCGCGTGAAGGGAGACTCGCAACGCGTGTGCGGTGATCCACCAACTCTCGACCGAGCGCTGGATTACAGGCCACGTGCGTAGGCCCCACGGGGGGCGGTGGTGGTAGTGGTGGTGGTGGCTACACACGCCACCGTGGCAAAACGTTAGCTACCTCGCCTGCTATACAGGAGGTCGTGGGTTCGATGCGGACCCTGACATCTCCGGGTCCTGCGGTTTTATGCCTCCACGTTTAGAATCAACGCCACGCGTTTGGAGTGCTTGGCTGCTATAAATGACCAAGTGACGATAAGCCAGCTTCATTGAGCTCCTAATTATGGCAGCCGGTTCGCTTCTGAAAAAGAGCCACACAGCTCAGTGGGCCCTAACCTGGTTAAAAAAATATGTAGTTCCGTTAATATTCATTGGTTTTCAGGCAATTAGTGAGTGATTCTAGATTTGCAGTTTTCGTGACTGCAAGGATCCATACTCTTTGGTTCTTTCAGTAAAGTCACGTAAGTGATAAAAAGATATATATATAGAATAATAATTAATAAAAAAATATCCCTTTTTACTTTTTTTCACCTACGTGACTTTAACGAAAGAACCAAAGAGTAGTGAGCGCGAACATCTGGGAGGAAACCGGAGCACCCAGAGAAACTGGCCTGTGCGAGGAGCAGCACCATCCCACGCAGACAGCGCGCAGGCGGAGGCCACGTTTCTATCTCGCTCGCCTTCTCCCGGCGGGCCGAGGTATACGTGCTCCTCTTGGACGCCCACGGCGAAGGGAGTTTCACAACATTCGTGTGACGATCCACCAACCCTCCCTGCTGGATTCCAGGTGTGCGCGGCCACCTGTAATCCAGCAAAGAAAATTGGAAAAAACCTTTGTAGTTTGTAGGAGGTGACGGGTCGGTGCGTCGCGCAGGTGGCTCAAGTTCGAGGAGGACGTGGAGGACGGCGGCGAGCGCTGGAGCAAGCCGTACGTGGCGACGCTGTCGCTGCACAGCCTCTTCGAGCTGCGCAGCTGCATCATCAACGGCACCGTGATGCTCGACATGCACGCCACCTCCATCGAGGAGATCGCAGGTGCAGGCGGCGGGGCGCACGGCTCGAGTGGAGCCCGGTCGGGTCGTCCTGTGACAAATTTATAACGCCGATGCGCTCACGCTCCGTGACAATCCGGGGAGCAGTTTCGTTTTGAAGTTCTATTCCCTCCACTGGCTCACAAATCCAATCTCGGATCGATTTCACGATCGCCCCCTCTCATCTCCCTCTACTCCCCTCCACGAACTCTCCTACCTCTCCCTTCTCATCTCACTCTACTCCCTTCCACTCACTCTCCTACCTCTCCCTTCTCATCTCACTCTACTCCCCTCCACGCACTCTCCTGCCTCTCCCCTCTCATCTCACTCGACTCCCCTCCACGCACTCTCCTACCTCTCCCCTCTCATCTCATCCTACTCCCTCCACGCACTCTCCTACCTCTCCCCTCTCATCTCATCCTACTCCCCTCCACGCACACTCCTACCTCTCCCCTCTCATCTCACTCCACTTCCCTCCACGCACTCTCCCGTCTCTCCCCTCTCATCTCACTCTATTCCCCTCCACGCACTCTCTTACCTCTCCCCTCTCATCTCACTCCACTCACCTCCACGCGCTCTCCTACCTCTCCCCTCTCATCTCACTCCACTCCCCTCCACGCACTCTCCTGCCTCTCCCTTTCATCTCATTCTACTCCCCTCCACGCGCTCTCCTGCCTCTCCCCTCTCATCTCACTCTACTCCCCTCCACGCACTCTCCTGTCTCTCCCCTCTCATCTCACTCTACTCCCCTCCACGCACTCTCCTGCCTCTCCCTCTCATCTCACTCTACTCCCCTCCACGCACTCTCCCGTCTCTCCCCTGTCATCTCACTCTATTCCCCTCCACGCACTCTCTTACCTCTCCCCTCTCATCTCACTCTACTCCCCTCCACGCACTCGCAGAATACAGTCACACCATGCTGAATAGATTGACGCTGGTAGTGTACATTGGTTCAACCCATCATCATCATCATCCCTCCCGCTTTGTGGGGATGTCAAAATTGGTTTTCTCTTTGCCGAGACTCGTCCCTGCCATAGGAATGTGGAATTTCCACCACTGGCTCTGCGGGTTTATCAACAAGAGATGTGCCCCAATGCTCGTGTGAGCGGCAGGAGACCACGTGGACTTGGCTGGGAACATCACAGCCAGAGGCTGCTCCAGCATTGTCCAACGCCTTGTTGATGTACCTGACAGTTTACATAAACTGGGAGCGGAGTCTCTCTTTCTCCATCTTTCTATCTCTCTGTCTCTCAAATGTTAGCTCACCTGCGGGCGCGCGCATGCGTGCACAATCGCGCAAAAACAAACAAGCAAACACAACAGCACGCGGCGGCCGCACTGCTTTCTTTACCTTTCCTACAACACGCGCACAGACGCACGCACACAGACGCCATGCGCTCGATAAAAAAAGCGGCCAAATGCATTCGGAGCGAACGTCTCCATGTTCCTGTCACCTACGCCAACACCGCCCTTCAGTCGCCACTTGCAAATCAACACAGCGGGTGCCGCGTGTATGTACGTCCTGTACGTTGAACTTCTTTCGCAGCGTACGTAGCCAACCGTGCTAATCGGAGGTGCGGGGGGGGGGCGACACTAAACACAAAAACGCTTCTAAAGAAATGAGTTTTCAATTTAGAAAATTTGTATCCACCACGGGATCGTCCATCGCGGACAGATTCTAAATGGGAGCCTCCGTGCCGGGCTTGGAGCGCCGCCGGTTCCAGCTGGCGCTCGCTTGGGGAACCGACCCCCCCCCCCCTCCGCCACCTCCTGCGTCTCCGCACGCTTCCCACATTTCTTGCCCAATTTGTAAAACCCTTCCCGACTCTAAAACTCTAGACACACAGAGCAGTCGTCGGGGCAATGAGAATTTGACGGAAATGAAGTTTATTGTGAAATGTCGGTCACAGTTCCTATGATCACTGTTACATTGCTTATGGCTTTACTTTGATGATTTCGAAAAGTTTTTTGGTTTGGCCATGTTTGTTTGTTGTAGTACGAAGTTATAATGATGGCTTTAATCTAAGTTTGCTTGTGGTTGTTGTTGTTGTTGTTTGACTTGCATCCCACTGGGATTTTTGCACACAGCGTTGGTGTACGGTGCTTTTTTGTTCCTGGAAGACTTTGCAGTTTTTTCCTGGATTTTTCTGTTTGCACATAGTCACTTTAAGATGTTTTCTTGTTCATGTTTTAGTTTTTTGCTTGTTGCGGTTGCACCCGATTCAAGAGCCGAATGGCTCACAGGGCCACACCTAATAAATGAAACAACTGAAAAAAAAACTACGAACCCGGCAACGCGGGTTCGATTCCCGCTCACGGCCACCAACACCGGTGACGAATTATCTGAACCGGTCCTGGGCCTCCTCCGCTAGGCCGACTCGGCCTTAAATGAGTAGCCGGTGTGGTGCGTAGTAAACATTTAAATGGAAATGAAGAGCGCCCGTCCTGTCTGTCGCTCGCAGACTTCGTGCTGGACGAGCAGATCTCGACGGCGCAGCTGGGCGAGGCGGCACGCGAGAAGGTGCGCGAGGCGCTGCTGCGGCGCCACCACCACCAGAACGAGAAGAAGCTGAGCGACCGAATCCCCATCGTGCGCTCCTTCGCTGACATCGGCAAGCGCCACTCGGACCCCCACCTGCAGGACAAAGTCGGTACGCGGGGGGGGGGGGGGGGCGCGGTGTGTGTGTCTGTGTCATTGTGTGTCAGTGTCATTGTGTGTCTGTGTCAGTGTGTGTCTGTGTGTGTCAGTGTCATTCTGTGTCTGTGTCATTATGTGTCAGTATCAGTGTGTGTAGTGTAGCTGTTAGCGCGCTGCGCTGGGTTCGATTCCCACTCACGGCCAACACCAGTGACGATTATCTGAACCGGTCCTGGGCCTCCCCTAGGTCAGCCTCAAATGAGTACCTGGTGCGGTGTGTAAACATCGCCACTGGGGAGACAAAGGCGGTCGGGCGTGGTCCTGGCCACCCACCCCCTCACAATCTGTTAAAGCTATACGGGGGTTTTTGTGTCAGCCAGTATTGTATGTGTCAGTCAGTGTGTGTGTCAGTGTAATGGGGAGCAGTAGTGTAGCAGTTATCACGCTGTGTTCCGAATCTGGCGACCCGAGTTTGAATCCCACTTATAGCCATTACAAGTGACGATTATCTCAACCTGTCCTGGGCTGGTCACCCACCCCCTCGTATGCCGTGCCGGGCGTCATAGGTGCTCGCTAACAGCACTTGCCCGAACAGTCTGTTAAGGCTATACGGGGGATCGTTGTCTTTGTTGGACGGCATCTTACCCGCTGTTCTTATTCTCTCCCATCCCCACTGTCCCTCGTGCCTCTCCGCTCGTCTCTCTCCGCTCCCCTCTCTCTAGCGGGGCCGGCCACAACGCAGCACCTGGCCCTGCCCCAGCTGGAGGGCGTCCCAAAGAACGGCACCGCGGCTACCTCCACAGCAGGGCCGGCGGGCACCAGCCGCGAGAACAGCAAGGTGCTGCTGGTGGTGCTACCGCCCCCAACATGCATTGCGCCGCGCCACGTTTGCTGCCGGGCACGACGTCCCGTCGACGTTTCACTCCACATGCAGTCGCGTGTCGTGATTATCATTTCCACCCGCCCCCCCATGATGAAAAATTCCGTAATAATTAAGAAGGTCGCTATTACTCATAACGCAAACAAACGCTTTGTAAAGTGCTGTCGGCAGTAATTGATGGCATGATAATTCCGTGACGTCATCATCTTCACGGTTCGTTGAATGGCGCAGCCCGTTCGGGGTTCGTGTAAGAGACGGCAAGCGCGTCCCTCCACGATGATCAGAGCAGGAGGAGATGATGCCTCCACTCAGCTGTGCTGCCATCTCCTGGCGAGCTGGCCTGCAGGCAGGCGGACAGACGGACTTGCGGGCAGAGTCGCCATCGCCCGGGGCGTGCGGGAACAGCGTGCGCTGCGCTGATCTCGCGTGGGTCGCGCTAACCTCGCGTGGGTCACGCTGATCGCCGCGTGGGTCTCGCTGACGCCCACGTGGGTCACACTGACCGCCGCGTGGGTCGCGCTGACCTCGCGTGGGTCACGCTGACCTCGCGTGGGTCACGCTGACCGCCACGTGGGTCGCGCTGACGCCCGCGTGGGTCGCGCTGACCTCGCGTGGGTCACGCTGACCTCGCGTGGGTCACGCTGACCTCGCGTGGGTCACGCTGACCGCAGCGTGGGTCGCGCTGACCCCCGCGTGGGTCACGCTGAGCCCGTGTGTGAACCGGGCTTCTCTCCCGGGGACAGGTCGACCTGAACTTCATGCGCAAGATCCCGCCGGGCGCCGAGGCCTCCAACGTCCTGGTGGGCGAGGTGGACTTCCTGGACCGGCCCATCATCGCCTTCGTGCGCCTCTCACCGGCCGTGGTGCTCACGGGCCTCACCGAAGTGCCCATCCCGACGCGGTGAGCGAGCGCCGTGCCGAGACTCGCAATGCCCGTCACACCGCACGTCACACCGCACGTTACACCGCACGTCACACCGCACGTTACACTGCCCCGGCGAGACTCCCACCGCTTGTCACACCGCATCAGAGCGCAAAAACAAAACAATTGAAAACCAAACGCCCGGCGGTATCTCCTCGGGGGCACCGTCGCCGCCCCCCCCATTCCTTGCCCCCCAGGTTCCTCTTCATCCTGCTCGGCCCCTCCGGCAAGGCGCAGCAGTACCACGAGATCGGCCGCTCCATCGCCACGCTCATGTCCGACGAGGTGCGTCGTGGCGCCGGCGCCCACCGCGTCGTCCATCGTTGCGGTTGAGAGGATCATCCCGAGTTTTGCCTCCTGTTCTTGCCGCGATCCGCCAACTCCACCGTGACTGGGCTGTCTGACTGTCGGAGTGATCACCGGGGCTTTTCGGTTTGCGTCGTTGTTGGCGACGTGAAGCGGAGACGCGCGAGCGTGCTTTGGTGGTCGCGGCGGTTTTAACTGGCTTGTCCAGTCCACGGCGGTTCGTGCTCTCAGCCCTGTGAGCAGTGAAACAAACAACAAAAACCCCGTCGCATTCAATGATTCACTTCATTTGGCTGGAATTCAGTGAAACCAAGTGAATTAGATTGCAATCCTGGCAGAGTGAATGGCTTTTTTTGACGAACAGATTCAATGGACGAGCTTACAATTTGGAGCCCAATGCGACTGCTCCGGGCGTCGTGGCTTGGCCCCGCTTGCCGTGTCGATCGAAGGGTTCGCTCGGCCATACCTCACCGCGCCGGTCAGTGCGGGGCGGCCGCTCGCGCCGAACGCCACGCGTGCCGCGGCGTTCCCTCGGCCGCCCACGCCGCTGAGGCTGACCCCGCCGTGACCCCTGGCAGGTGTTCCACGACGTGGCCTACAAGGCCAAGGATCGCAAGGACCTGCTGGCCGGCATCGACGAGTTCCTCGACCAGGTGACGGTGCTGCCCCCCGGGGAATGGGACCCTTCCATCCGCATCGAGCCCCCCAAGAACGTGCCCTCCCAGGTGAGCCCCCCCCCCCTCCCTGACTGCCACTGCCGCTCCCCCTCAGGGACCGTGAGACTAGAGTTCAAATCCCAGCCGATGGTTGATGAAAGGAATGAATACCGGGCGTGCTAATTCTACCCACCGTAGCAGGATAGCGTGTTGTGAACATTGCGATGTGAATTTGTATAAGGATTTACATCAGACCTCACCTCAATCATTCCAATACCCAGCTGTGGTTTAGCCTAGGGGACCCCCCCATGGCAGCTGTCCCTGCACAGCACTGGCCTAGCAGTGCACGTTACTCTGCCAGAAGGCAACCGCATCTCGAGGCGAGAGTGAGGGGCGGGGCGATTGACGGGCGGCACGTGCGCTGGTGCAGGACAAGCGCAAGAACCCTCCGCTCCCCAACGGCAACGCGGCGGAGGGCGGCAACGGAGGAGCGGAGTCGGAGGGTCTCGGCGGGCAGCCCGGCCACGGGGTGGGTCCCGAGCTCGTTAGGACCGGACGGTGAGTCTCTCGCAATCCCAGACGATCATAAATCGGTAACGCCCACAGCGGCCGTTCACTCGTGGAGAAGCGGAGAGAGACGAGAATGGTTCAGCGGCGGCGGAAACCGTAGTGGAGCGTGAAGGCGGCCACAATCGGCGTCAGCAATTGGCTCAAGCTCTGTGGCCCTACACTAGGATGTTTGACCAACTCACGTGCGGGATCCAGATAGGAAACTGATTATTGGATGGAATAACAGATGGGAATTAACCCACTTGCTGTACTGCCGTCGCAACCTGGTGGGCCAGGAGATAGCGACTTCGCAGCCGAGCGGGTTTGGGAGTTTCACGAGTGTGTGTGCGTGTATGTGCGAGTGCGTGCGTGCGTGTGCGAGTGTGTGCGTGTACGTGCGAGTGTGTGTGTGCGAGTGTGCGCGAGTGTGTGTGCCAGTGTGCCTGCGAGTGTGCGTGCGAGTGTGCGTGTGTGTGTGTGTGTGATCCACTAAACCCCCGCTGGGCCACCAGCGCCGGGCAGCGTGGCTCCTCTCCACGGGGCTGTGAGCTCCGCGCCTGACGGGGCTAGTCGGGTCACCAAGGAGCAATCTCACTCGCTGGGAACTGAGCCCGGGTCTCCGGGCACAACGTCTTTTTAAATCCTTATATTAAGTTCACTTGCTTGCGCGCTTGCGCGCTTACGACCGTGCAAATCTTTCGGTCGTTTTTCAACCCACTTCCCGTGATCCAATCGAGCTGACATTTTGCACACAGACTCGTTGTGCGTGATAATTTATTTTCGTGAAAAAAAATTCCCAAATTTTCCACTTTTTATGAAAAAAAAAATTTCATATTTAATTTAAAATACCAATGTGATAAAAATGAAACTCTTACTCAAGAAAAACAGAAATGAATAATAAAATAAAACCGATGCCACGCATATAAAGGATTTATAGTGAAAAACTTTGTTTTTACGGGTTAATTTTTTTATATTTGAGAGAAACCCGGGGGGCCCACGTGACGGGCCGAGGTGGCATCGCGCGGGATGCCGACCCCCACCGAGCCCATCGATCCACCGCCAGTGTACGGGGGCCGTTGATCCATTGAAGTTGCGCGTTGCCAGCGAGAGCGACGCTCCGCTTGAGGTGGGTGTCCCGTCTCTGCCGCAGCTTGTTTGGGGGGCTCATGCTGGACCTCAAGCGCAAGCTGCCCTGGTACCTGAGCGACTTCCGCGACGCACTCAGCCTGCAGTGCCTCGCCTCCTTCCTCTTCCTCTACTGCGCCTGCATGTCGCCCGTCATCACCTTCGGAGGCCTCCTCGGGGAGGCCACCGAGGGCCGCATCGTGAGTCCAGCGCCAGGGAATATGCTCACCCCCCCCCCTCCGTGTCGGCCCACGGGGGCGGCCCATGGGGACCGCCCTGGTGGGCCACCCTGGCTGGCAAACGATTTGTCAGCGCCTCTCCGCGAGGTCGCATCTTCGCTGCACGAGTCAAGTACTCGGGTGAAAGTGATTGCCGCCTCCAGTGAGCATTGAGGAGTCGGTGGTCATCCCCCCTGTTTACAACCCTGCAGAGCCAGTGGTGGAAATTCTATGTTGCTATGGTGGGGGTGAGTTTATCCAGAGGACAGCCCCTGTTTACTTCCTATTTGGGGGATCTTTATTTTTTTGTGAGCGCAGCTGCGTGCTGCAACACGTCGAGGGTTGCCACCCGTCCCGGATTTCCTTTGACCGCCCTCTTGTTGTTGACGAGGCGGCTGCTGTGCTGGGAACACCTCTAAGTCTTCCCACAACTCCCGGCTGTTGTTGTTGTTGTCAGAGCGCCATCGAGTCGCTGCTGGGGGCGTCCATGACGGGCATCATCTACTCGCTGTTCGCGGGGCAGCCGCTCACCATCCTGGGCAGCACGGGGCCCGTGCTCGTCTTCGAGAAGATCCTCTACAAGTTCTGCAAGTGCGAGGGCTGCACCGCACTAGCACTGCACCGCACTCGCACCGCACTCGCACCGCCCCTAACACCGCACTAGCGCTAGTGCCGCACTAACACCGCACTAACACCCTCACTCTCACCGCCCCTCACTCGCACCCTCACTCGTACCCTCACTCGCACCGCACTCGCATTTGTACCACACTCACACCACACTGACACCGCATTAGCACCGCACTCGCACAGTTCACCGTATTAGCAAAGCACATTCGGTCCGCACTAGCGCTGCATCACACTCGCATCGCGTTTGATAACTGCACCACCATCCCAACATGGATGGATGTGTGCCAGTGTGGTTTTTATCCAGTAGATCCCACACCGTCATGTTTGATAAGAATATTCTCCCTCGTCTAGAAGTGTGAGCGAGTTGGTGTGTGAGCGAGCGAGAGGGTGGGAGAATGTGCAAGAGAGTGGATGAGTGGGGTTGTGAGCTGGTGAGTGAGCGAGCGGGTGGGTGACCTCGCAAGAGAGTCACAGAGTCTGTGATTGAGCGAACGAGGTTGTGAGCAGGCAGATTGACGAGTTGGTAAGTTTGTGAGTGAGTGAGTGAGTCAGTGAACGAGCGATCGATCGAGCGGACAAGAGGATTTGCGAGCGGCTGAGCACGGAGGTAAGCGGGCGGGCGGTGCGGGCGAGTTGAGCGAGCGACCCGCCCCGTGGGTTGCGCAGGGACTACGGCCTCTCGTACCTGTCGCTGCGCGCGTGCATCGGCCTGTGGACGGCCTTCTACTGCCTGCTGCTCGTGGCCACGGACGCCAGCTCGCTCGTGTGCTACATCACGCGCTTCACCGAGGAGGCCTTCGCCGCACTCATCTGCATCATCTTCATCTACGAGGCGCTGGAGAAGCTCGTGCACCTGGGCGAGACGTACCCCGTGAACGCGCACAACTCCCTCGACCACCTCACCAACTACAGGTGAGCCGCGCCGAGGCAGGGCACAGAGGGGTGGAGTGGGGTGGAGTGGGGTGGAGTGGGTGGGGTAGGGTGGGGTGGGGTGGAGTGGGGTGGAGTGGGGTGGGGTGGAGTGGGGTGGAGTGGGGTGGAGTGGGGTGGAGTGGGGTGGAGTGGGGTGGAGTGGGGTGGAGTGGGGTGGAGTGGGGTGGAGTGGGGTGGAGTGGGGTGGAGTGGGGTGGAGTGGGGTGGAGTGGGGTGGAGTGGGGTGGAGTGGGGTGGAGTGGGGTGGAGTGGGGTGGAGTGGGGTGGAGTGGGGTGGAGTGGGGTGGAGTGGGGTGGAGTGGGGTGGAGTGGGGTGGGGTGGGGTGGGGTGGGGTGGGGTGGGGTGGGGTGGGGAGGGGTGGAGTGGAGTGGTGACGACGCCGCATTATTTGTCGTGCGGGGTGGGGGGGGGTTTCGTATTTCACCCCGGGCGGGCATAACCGCACCTCAGAGCGCCACTGGATGTCGCTGTCGGTGACTGCCGCTCCACGATTTGCCGCGTGCCACGTGAGGAGCCGACGCGGCGTTCGCTCCGCTGGGCTCGTGACGCCGGACATTTAAAAACTTTGTGACACGTGGTGCTTGGTCCGCATCCATGGACCGAGCGTGGTGTTCTGAACCGGTCACCCCAGGAACAACCCACCCGCCCGCCGGCCCTCGCCGTCCGTGTGGAGCAGTGTTCTTGATTGCAAGGCCCGCGGGCCAGTGGCGACCTCTGATGTGTGGCTCCCGACAATACACACGTGTGAAAACACCCCCCCCCCCATCACCATTGTGCTGGCAAACCCCAATGGTTTCAAAAGTGTGGCGGCTCTCACACTGATGACGTCTTATCGGCGAACATCGCCCCCACCCCCCTGATTATGAGTGAAAAACGCTGCTGTAGACGGTAGCCAGGTTGAGGCTCGACGCGTTAGGGGCATCATCGGTGACCCGCGGCTGTGTGGCCAGGTGCTCGTGCACGGCCCCCGTGAACCCGGAGAACGGCACGCTGCAGCTCTGGAGCCGTCAGAACCTCACGGCCGCCACCATCCCCTGGGGCAACCTCAGCGTGACCGTGAGTGGCGCCACCTCGCCCCGCATTCACAGCAGCAGCAGCAGCATCACCGTCATCGTCATTATACTAAAACTAATCTAAACAATGTTTTATTGTACCACTCAACTTTTTAGCTCTTTTTCAGAAGCAACCTGGCCACAAATAATTGCTCGACGAAGTGGCGTATCGTGTGGACATTTATATCAGCCAAATGCTCTAAACGCACGTTGATTCCAAATGTGGAAGGACACTACACGGGGAGAGAGACACACACACTCCAAATACGGCAGGTGTCGGGGTCGGGATCGAACCCACGACCTCGTGCGTACCAGACGAGGGAAATAACATCTGGCCATGATCGATAGCCACTGCTGAAAGAAACGCATCCCCCAAGCACGACGCCATCTCTCACGGCCTCTGAGGATGAAGTTATAAAAGATCAGGAGGGAGGGAGGTGTGCAGGCACATGGGGCAGAAGGGCAGAGCAGCAGTAGCACTTGTGAAGCGCCTGGGTTCGATTCCCAACCTGAGCACCTTCCTACGTAGAGTTCGTACGTTCTCCCCCTGTTCTGCATGGGTTTTATCCGGCTTCTCTGGTTTGCTCCAAAATGAAAAAAAACACACACATCCTGTAACTGGTATTGGCCAAAACATCCCAACGCTGACAGACTACCTTCAAACTACAGTCAGGAATCGCACACAACAGCAGCAGCAGCAGCATCACCTCCGAAAACTTGGCAGGACCCTCCTGAAAGAGAGTCTCGAACCTCAGCGAGTCATTGCCGCGACTGCTGCGGTTACAGTGAGCGCAGGCCGCAGCCTGCCGCCCCTGACTGCGGCGCCTGCCGTGACTGTGGCCTCCCCCTCCCTGTGCCGTGCCACAGGAGTGCTCGTTGTTTCACGGCGAGTTTTCGGGGCGGGCCTGCGGCCATGAGGGCCCCTATGTTCCGGACGTCCTCTTCTGGTCGGTCATCCTCTTCTTCTGCACCTTCTTCCTCTCGGCCTTCCTCAAGGACTTCAAGACCATGCGCTACTTCCCCACCAGGGTACGTACGCTGGAGCAGCGCCCCGCCGCTCGGGGCCCAGTAAACTAAGACAATTTTTTACTTTGACCGGATAAGGCCCCCAGTGTAGCTCTTTTGCAGTAGCGACCTGGCTTTGACAAATGATAGCTCAACCAAGTGGCTTATCATGCGGAAATGTGTAGCAGCCAAACACTCTGAACGCGTCGTTTCTAAATGTGAAGGGAAAAACCGGAGGACCCGGAGGAAAAATCCGCGCAATCATGGGGAGAGAGAGAGACGCAAACTCCAAATATGCAGCAGGCGTCAGTGTTGGGACCCACGACCTCCTACATACCAGGCGAGGGAGTTAACATCTCCTAGCCACAGTGGCGTGCCCAGGGCAAGATTTATATTTAAGCAAAGGAAGCCACTGCTTAAGGCCTCATTGTGAGAGGCCTCTAAATACGAAAAAATATAAATTATACAAAGTTTAAAGTTTTACATAATCGGTTGAAAAATAAACAACATAGGGAAAAAATATTCCCCAAAATTGTAATTTTCCTTCCGATATGACAAAAATATACAGGCGTTCCTCGATGGGGCCTCGAGAGCTTCACATAGCTTATGGCCCTAGTGACATCATAATACATAGGGCACGCACACAGATATATTTCGAAGGAGGCAAAATAAGTTTATATTGTTAAACAGCAATAGTAATCATTGTTGTCGTTTGTCATTTTCCAAACGGGATGGTGAACATCATGGCCTTGAGTATGTTCCGAGATGTGGCCCGAACGGACACCACTAAGTGGCGGAAGGCCCCCGCCGAGTGATGTGACCCCTGAACCTTCACCGAGCGAGCTCCGCGTGACCCCTGAACCCTCACCATGCGAGCTCCGCGTGACCTCTGAACCCTCACTGAGCGAGCTCCGCGTGACCCTTGAACCCTCACCGATCGAGCTCCGCGTGACCCCTGAACCCTCACCATGCGAGCTCCACGTGACCCCTGTACCCTCACCGCGTCTCCCCCACACTCCCTGTGTCCAGGTGCGAGCCATCGTGAGTGACTTTGCCGTCTTCCTCACCATTCTCACCATGGTGCTCGTGGACTACGCGCTCGGCATTCCGTCTCCCAAGCTACAGGTCCCCAGCGTCTTCAAGGTGAGGCGCCCTCCGCTCCCCTCCACTCCGCTCCCCTCCCCTTCCCTCTGCTCCCCTCCCCATTGCACTCACTACGAACATCACACAGGGGTGAGATACTTTATCGCTCTTGTGGGATGTGTCGATACTGCCACCGATGTTCTTATTCGTATTTTTTTGCACGAGTTTATTGATAATGGACAACAACAACTGAAATTCACAACCTTGTTTCAAAGTGCGCCTGGCCTGGCGTGAGTGCCATTTTGATGTCGCCACCAGTTAGTGGCTAATGGCAGTTATTGTGGTAGTTGATCTCGTAGTAGTAGCAGTAATTATAATTTATAAACAACTTAGTACGTTGGGTATCCGCGCCATTCTTATAGCGCAGGGCTATGGCGAAGGCGCCGCTGTGTTTCAGACACTGCCGCAGTTTCAGAGTAGGGGGGGGGGGGTGCCGTTGCTGCTACGAGTACGTATGTTGGACTTGGATTGCACCGTACGTAGCCAACCGTGCTAATCGGAGGTCCGGGGGAAGGATCACAAACCAAATACAAACATTTATTCTCAAGAAATTCGTTTTCAATCTGGATGATTTAAAAGTGCATAGCTCCAGTGGCTTCCTAATATTGGAAGGAAGAGCATTCCAGACAGCTGCAGCAGCGCATCTGAAAGTGCACAATGCGGTGGCTGCCTTTGTTCAATGGCCAGCCAAGTGCCGTTGCGAGGATGACCGGAGTTCGTGTGAATGTTTATGCTCCTTGACGAGATCTGCAAGGTAAAATTACTCGATCCCAAATCGATCCCAAATCGAGTAATTTGTAATTTTCAAGTTTAATTAATTTGTACCGGGACACCGGCACACACCGGCCTGCTCTTTTCGATGACGTCCCGGGATGTTTAACGTCCGCTGCGCAGCGGGGCGGCGCGTAGTATTTTATGGTTCGTGCGCCCGCAGTATTACCCAGGGCGGCCTGCCGGATTTGAAGCGCGACCCTCTGCATCGAGCGGCGAGCGTGCCCTCCACTGGGCCAAGTTGCTGTTATCATTGCTGCTGCTGTTGTTGTTTGCTTGCTCTGTTGTTGTTTACTTGTTATGTTATTTACTTGTTATGTTGTTGTTTACTTGTTATGTTGTTTACTTGTTGTGTTGTTGTTTACTTGTTATGTTGTTTATTTGTTATGTTGTTTACTTGTTCTTCCAGCCGACGCGCGATGACCGCGGCTGGTTAGTGGATCCCATCGGGACCAACCCGTGGTGGACGCTCCTGGCGGGCGCCATCCCCGCGCTCCTCTGCACCATCCTCATCTTCATGGACCAGCAGATCACCTCCGTCATCATCAACCGCAAGGAGCACAAGCTCAACGTGAGCGTGCTCGCACTGCGAACGCCGAGCGCGCAACGTCGTCGTCGTCGCAGTCGTAGGCCACGGTCAATCTACCCCCCGGCTGAAGACCTCCGCAGGCAGCTACCAAACCCTTTGGCGACGTCGAGAAATCGTCGATATGTAAACCGCGCTGTGTCCGTTTAACCGGAGCGGAGTCAGGGCAACCGATTAGTAATTCTGTAAAGCCGGAGGGAAGTCAGTTTAGCACGTAGGCTTCTGCGACCAATATCATCCATAATAGAGGTTTTTTTTGGGAAGTGATCATTTGTCCTCTTTTCTCTCTGGTGAAGAGGTGCTCCTCAAATAGCGCGGCGTCGGACGTTCTCGCACGGACACTGTCACCCCTGCCAAGTGCTCGTGGCTCCCCCCATTAGCTCGTGCACTCGCACTCTCTACCCTCGCTCATGAGCTCATGAGCTAGGGTGCGTGCCGGTGCGTGCGTCTGTACGTGCGTCTTTAAGTGCGTGAGCATGTCTGTACTCACTTCTGTGCGTGCGTGAGCGCGTCTGTGCATGCGTGGGCACGTCTGTGCGTGGGTGGACGTGTCTGTGCGTGCGTGGGCGTGTCTGTACGCGCGTCCGTTACGGGCATTCTGTACGCGCGTCCGTCCGTGCGTGCGCGTTCACAGAAGGGCTGCGGCTACCACCTGGACCTGCTGTGCGTGGCGCTGATGCTGGGGGTGTGCTCCATCATGGGGCTGCCGTGGTTCGTGGCGGCTACGGTGCTCTCCATCTCGCACGTCAACAGCCTCAAGCTCGAGTCCGAGTGCTCCGCGCCCGGCGAGCAGCCCAAGTTCCTGGGCATCCGTGAGCAGCGCTTCACGGGGCTCATGATCTTCCTGCTCATGGGCTGCTCCGTCTTCATGACTACAGTGCTCCAGGTGGGGGCGGTGGGTGGGGGGGAGGTGGGGAGGAGATGCGGCAGGGTGGCATCGCCCCTCGTGGCACCAGATTGGACTCGGGTTTGGTTCCTGACTCGGGCACCTTTCTGCACGTGGAATTTTTGCATTCTGTCTCTCTCTCTCTCTCCCTGTTGTGTGCATGTTGAACTTCTTTCATGCCGCATGTAGCCAACAGTGCTAATCTGTGGTGCGGGGAAGGAAAACAAATGAAACACGAAACGCAGTTCGAAAGAAATTTGTTTTCAATCTGGATGATTTAAACGTGCATAGCTCCAGTGGCTTCCTAATATCATAAGGAAGAGCGTTCCAGACGGCTGCAGAAGTGCATCTGAGAGCGCCGCGCGATGCGGTGACCACCGCCGTCTCTGTTCGATGGCAGCAGCCAGAAGCCGCTGCGAGGATGACCGCCGGAGTTTGCGTGACGGTTTATGCTTATTGCAAGGGTTTATTCTTCGGTATTCTCCCATAGGTAAAAGATTGGCCCAAAACATCACAATACTGAAAAATATCTTGCAAATCACACAGCAGCAGCAACATCGCCCCCCTACTGTGAAAAATTTGGCAGGAACCTCCTGAAAAATAATCCTGAGACTCAGTGAGGCTTTCCTGGTTAAACAATCACAGTAGCAAAAACAACAACAATAATGATGATGAGTAGTAACCTTGCAGAGAACTCCGCCCATGACACGCACTCGTTTTGTGTGGCCACAGTTCATCCCGATGCCGGTGCTGTACGGAGTGTTCCTCTACATGGGCGCCTCCTCGCTCAAAGGCATCCAGGTGGGTGGGCACGGGCACCTCGGCACGCGGCGCCATCGCCATCACCTTGACCTCCGTTGGGCGCACTTCCGCCGCGCCTTGTGTTATATCGCTCTGGTGCAGCTATAGACACGATCGCAACGAACTTTGACCCTCTGTTCGATTGCGCGGCGCCGCGTCCTGTCGCTTGGGCCCACGCTCGCTGGCGCTCTCCGCCCACAGTTCTTCGACCGGCTGAAGCTGTTCGGCATGCCCGCCAAGCACCAGCCGGACTTCATCTACCTGCGCCACGTGCCGCTGCGCAAGGTGCACCTGTTCACCGTCGTGCAGCTCACCTGCCTCGTGCTGCTCTGGGTGATCAAGGTGTCGCCCGCGGCCATCGTCTTCCCCATGATGGTACGCGCGTACCACGTGCCCCCGAGCATGCCCCCGCGCGCCCCAGCGCGCCTGCGTACCCCCGTGCCCAGGGAATGTTAACCCAACCGATATCCCTGAACCGTTAGGAGCCAAGTGTTCCGGGAATTTCTGGAATATCGGGCTCCCCTTTGCGAACATGTCGCGAGTATTTTACGAAAAGGTGGACGGACCGTGGTGAGTGACGGAGTTGAAAAGCGTGGATCTGGAGCGGCCACCGGAGGGAGTTGGCGAGGCTGGAAGAGTTCTCGATGCTTCACTCGTCAGTCACACACGAGCACACACCAGTCATCATCATTATTATTATCACTGCTAAGATGATTTTTTAGGAGGGCCCTGCCAAGTTTTTCACAGTAGGGGGCGAAGTTGCTGCCATTTGTAAATCAAATGGAGTTATTTGCAGGTAGTTTTTACATTTTATTTTCGGCTTGTGGAGGAAACCAGAGAACCCGGAGGAAACCCACGCGCAGAACAAGCGGGAGAGAGAGAACATGCAAACTCCACGCAGAAAGGCGCCCGAGTAGGAAGTCAAACCCCAGGTCCCATGTTGCTGTGAGGCACCAGTGGGCCACCACCTTCCTGCCCAGATGCCGGCGTTCTCAACTAGCTCCGGTCCGCGCGACTCCCTACGACCACGCCAGGAGAGGAGCTCGCAGATAGACTGACCGGAGCGGCCGGGCTCTCGGCGTTTCACTCGGACAGTCCAAACCAAACTATAAACTGTTTTTTTTATTTTACCAGGTAAGGCCCACTGAGCTATATTGCTGTTTTTAAGAAGCGACCTGGCCATAAATGAGAGCTCAACGAAGTGGCTTATAATGTGGACATTTTTCCCGGCTAAATACTCTAAACGAGTGATGTTGATTCTAAATGTGGAGGGGAAAACCACGACCTCCTGTATACCAGGCGAGGTAGTTCACATCTCCAAGCCACCGCGGCACCTGGCGGCACCCGGCCGTGTCGGCTTGCGGCCCAAAGCCGCACGCGTGGGCAGCGGCGTGGGCAGCGGGGCATGGGCAGTGGCAGTGGGCGGGCGAGCGGGCGGGTGGACAGGCTGGCGGGATCCTTGAGGTCCGTGCACGGCTCTTCGATGGGCTTGCCTTCCCCCGCAGGTGCTGGCCCTCGTGTTTGTGCGGAAGCTCATGGACCTGTGCTTCACCAAGCGGGAGCTCAGCTGGCTGGACGACATCATGCCCGAGAGCAAAAAGAAGAAGATTGACGACGCAAAGAGGAAAGAGAAGCAGAAAGAGGTGAGCGTCTTCCTCCATTGCGTGCCCCCCACCCAGCCCGCACGGTTCGATCGGCGCGTCCTGTCGAATCACCGATCGCGGTTGTCGTTGTTGTTGTCGTTGTTGTTGTCATTGTTGTCGTTATTGTTGTGGTTGTTGTCATCATTCTTGTCATTGTTGTCATTATTGTGGTCGTTTTCGTTGTTGTTGTCGTTGTTGTCATTGTTGTGATTGTTGATGTCATTTTTGTTGTTATTGTCATTGTTGTCATTCGCGTTCCAGGAGGCGGAGCGGATGCGGCATTGTCCGGAAGCGGAGAGCATTCACGTGCCCATGGAGGAGGTCAACCTCATCAAGGTCCCAGTCCTCAACGTTCAGCAGAGGTAACGCGACAAGCACGCCGGGCACGTCGTCACGGAGACGCGTCGCGCGCTCCGGTGTGTACAGCGCTCCGCACACCAGCGGCCGCATCAGTCATCTTATCAGGGGCCTAAGGTTAATTGGAGGCAAGGGCCTAAGTATGTATTACGTTTTTAAACAAACAAAAAAAATGATCTTGAAGTCATCACATATTTAAGCTTTGTAAAATTATCTCATTTAGTCGACTCAAGGTACATTCAACTTCATGAAACATAAATCACTCTAGCTGTGGCACAGTCATAAATGTGGTCATCCTAATTCAGGAAAAGAGAAAAAAATTCTGATGGCCACGCTCCCATCGCCCTTCAACGTGCAATATGCGGACCTAAAAAACGGCCTACAACATCTGAGGGCCTAAGGCCTTGCTAGCCTATGGGTTAATCTGACCCTGTCTACAGAGTAAAACCCACGCCTTAATTTGGCATTAAAAAAGAAAAATATATAATGGCCAACGTTTTGGGCAATGACTCTTAGAAGATGCATCGTTTATGCAAATGCTTTCAAGTTTGCAATCACATAAATAAACCCTTTTTTAAACTTTAACATTTCCGTTGCGCTGACCTTTTGCCACACGTCGGGAAGAATGCGAACGCTGTTTCCATTCCGCATTTACCCCGCGAAAGTATGCGCAGTAATAAATACAACGCTCACGGATTTGACGGCGCTATTAGTGGCACCGCGACCGTGTCGGCACGGCCGCCAGCCGACACTTAGCGGCTAATTTTACTCCCCTCCCACATTTCCCCCCCACCCTAGCCCCGAGGACCCCTCCGTCATAAACATCTCGGACGAGATGGCGAAGTCGGCGGTGTGGAGATCCGTGGCGACGAACTCAGAGCCGGCCGGAACCTCCCAGAGGTAGAGCTGCGTGAGCTGGAAAACCACGTTGTGGCTGGTGCGGCCGTGGTGGTGGTGGTGGTACATGTGTGGTGGTGTCCCGGTGGGTGCAGGGCCATGTCTGGTATTTGTGAATTATTTGGTGATTCTGCTGCCGAGTTGGCAGCGGTGCACAAGCACAAATAACAACAGACTCAACACATTTGTTATCAACTGCACTGCCCCAAAAAGAAAGAGTATATGACAGGCGACGTTTCGGGCAATGGCCCCTTCTTGAGGGCACATAGAGAGGCTCTTCCCATTTCCGTTTTGGCCGATGCCAGCTAAGAGCCAAATCTTCCCTCTGTGTCGGAACACCGGGACCTAAACAAAGCAAGCTTGCCTGGGCCGGCGTGACGCCCGCGAAATGAACATTTACACAGCCGGGTGAGAGCCCATTGGGACAAACACTACTTTCCCATGGGATGCCCACCTCGAGTTGACCCCGAGGTCGGCCTGATTTCTCCCGGAGCTTGAGCTGATGGGCAACCCGAGTCCGTTTCCAAGCGGTTGTTTGCATGCTTTGGCAAGCAACCCCCAGTTCAAGTCGAACGACGAGTGCGTTTGGCATCCGCGTAGCTCTCGTCGTGCAAGGTGGGGTTATCACGAAGGCGCTTCGTTTCGGAGATGATTACGGTCTGCGGTAGTTTTTGCAGTGCGAGGCGCGAAGCTATTGCGTGTTTTTACCGATTGAGTAATTGGCCAGTGATTTTTTAAAAAATTGGCAAAATTCCCACCACGATGCCGGCGCACACACGGGCCTCCTGCTCGATCTCCAGACGGCACGCGTTTGTGGTTGATACGCGTTTGCCGTTCACACCGCGGCATTAACACCGCGGCATTAACCACAGCAGCTGCTGAGCTCGAACCCGTGGACCTCTGGAACGAGCGGCGAACGTGACACCGCTCCGGCGTGTGGGGCGAGTACCGCTGCCTTTATTTGGAAACACCGCAATGGGGGAAAGCTGGCCAGGGAATGCCTGCGTGCGAAAGCTCAAGACCATGTTTCTGACAAAACAAAATAATTATTTGAAATGTTAAATTAGAAATGCAATGTTCCTGCTGCCTACAATGTTTTAAAATTATATTTGAAACATGTTTGGCGACATTTTCTCAGTGCCCAAATTCTTACGGAGGGAAATTCAAATCGAGGCCCCGTGGGAAATCTGAGTGCAGCTCGCATTCACGGCCAAGCTGACGGTGGCTAGGAGATGTTAACTACCTCGCCTGGTATGCAGGAGGTCGTGGGTTCAAGTCCAACCCTCACGCCTGTATATATTGGAGTTTGCATGTCTCTCTGCCCGTGGTCACATGGGATTTTGTCCGGGTCCTCTGGTTTTTCCCTCCACATTTAGAAATACAGTATGCGGTTAGAGTATTTGTCTGCTAAAAATTTCCACGCGATAAGCCACTTTGTTGAGCTGTCATTTGTGGCCAGGTCGCTTCTGAATAAGAGCTGCAGAGCTCAGTGGGCCTCACCTGCTAAAATAAAAAATACTTTAGTTTGGTTCAATAGTGTAGACACACGAGCGGGACAGCAACCCCAGTTCCATCTCAAGTTCTACGGCTCGTGGGAACCAGGTACTGCCGTGTTATTCGTCAAGGGGGACTGGGCCATGAGCAAATGCAGGAAGGCAATGCTGGGAGCGAAAGTTAAAGTACACGTACAGGGGGATTACGTCACGCCCAGGCTACGCTTGCTTTGTGCAGTTTCGGCCAGTTTCATAACAGCATTCAGCTCGGCAAACATCCACAGATCTGCTCGGTGCCAACAGAGCTCACGACCGTTGCGACCACCCTCGACTGTCCAACCCTCCCCGGTTGGCATCGATGGCCCGCGACGCTCGTGCTGCGAGTGCAGCGAGCCCGTTAGCGAGTCCCGTGTGTTCCAGTATGTGTCGCCCCCGTTTACAAACCCCACAATGCACCACCACTGCCGCAGGCTGCTCGCGATTCCGCTCGAGAGACTGAAAGTAACCGCGCGCTGACGTCGGTCCATTCTCATCGGCGTGCGCGCGACGTGTTTGGGTTATGTCGATGCAAAAAAGAATCACTTTGTACGTCACACAACATTCCCAGAGGACGTGAACTCTGCAACGCTTCTTAACGAAGTCAACTTTGGATTTTTACCCGGTTCTAAGACCCAAACATGTAACGTGGCGCAATGACGGGTGGCCGGGCTTCACTTCTCATGGAATATGATCCAGGCCCCCTCCCCCGCCCCCATGACAGCGGTGAGTACCGAAGGGGGTGGTGGGGGTGGGCATGGAAATATTTTCAGGAGCTCTGCCCCGGACAGCTTCCGGGTTAAACGAATCCTTGCGGCTGGCGGAGCGTGCGGGACGACGTGGAGCCCCTCTTCTCAAGCGCCGCCTGGCAGACGAACCTGGCCCAGGCCGCCGTCTCCGCGACGGTTGATTGTGAACGGCGGCGGCGGCGGCTCCCAGTTTTTTATGCAAACGAAGCATAAAAAAGCGCTTAGGGGAGCCCCAAGTGGCTGGGAGTGCCCCCGGATTTCGTGTAAACACATGAAGAGGGAACATCAAACGGGCCAGCCCCACCGGTCGCCACGACGCGGGACGGGGCTCGCCCGCGCGGAATCGCCGAGCCCTCCGCCAGCCGCCCAGGCGCGCAGCGTCGTGGACATCGCCGCTGTCTCTAACATTCCATTCGCCCCGCGCACCTGCAATCGTTGCGCACGCGTTGATTGATCCCACTCTCAAAAAGACAAAATCGGCCGGTTTGAGCCACGCGCTCATCTCACGTCGGGCCCTTCCGTGCCTCTGTCGCCTCGACGTCCGCACAACCCCCCTCTTCCATACCCTGCCCCCGCCCTTTGCATCGTGTTTTTGTACTTCTGATGTCTGATTGATTTCCTTGCCGTTACTAAACGCTGTTCCTTTCTCTTGTAGATCGTAACGTGGAGTCTAACTGGGTCTGTATTTCAAAGCATTTCCGCGTTTAACACCCCCTCCCCTCGCCCGGTATTCTGAACGTTCCCGACGACATTGCACTTAGCCGTCTCTAAATGCGTTTTAAATCCTGGTTTTCGTCCCAGTTTTACACAACGGCTCTCTGTCACAGCATCCGCGTGTGCCGTCAAATCCCCCTCTCTGGGAGGGTTGAGTGCCGCGGCTCTACTGGACGAGCGAGACGCGTGGACGAAACCGCGCGAGCTCCAGCTGACAAGCTCGAGCGTTTCACCCAACGGCGCCTGAGGTCGGCCGCGAGCGTTCGGCCCGGCACCATCGTTAGAGGCACTCCGGGGCCGTCGTCGCAAAGGCCGCGGCCCCCTCGCTCAGCCTAGAGTCCCATGCTTGACCCCTCGAAGGGGAATTCTCCTTCATACAAGGGTTGTTTTAGAAGACTCGCTCTCGCGTCGATCGAGATAACCTGGCAAGGGGCTTCTGTTGATTTTTTTTTATTGCGTTTGAGCATGTTTACCTGAGTGTCCTGTAACGTTTGGCAATAGCATTTTACTGCTTCAGGTATATTATATATAACAAAAAAAAGTTTAAATAAATAAAGTTGTTCCTGTAGAGCTGAATTAAATGTGAGAAACAACGTAAATGGAATACTGCATAGCACTTGACGCGTCGCAGTGCCCACGCTGCGTGGAGAGAGATAGAAACGCATCTATTTTCACAGAGGTATCACGTGACGTAAAACTGAGTCGTGACTAGAGTGTGAGATGTCATAACCTTGTGTGCAATCGCTGAAGTGTGGACACCTTCTCTGCAACTTGATTGTTAAGCACTTACGCGCAGCAGCAGACGCACTTAAGATATATTTACGTGTTGAATGTTCTAAGGAAATTCCCTTTCGTGGCCTGACATGAAATGATTATAACTCTGAAATATTATCGTCGTGCTTTTTGGTAGCTGTTGATTTTAATATTCTCACAAATCAATGTTGTTGTCTTCTTCATACTTTTTGTTCATCTTTAACCTCTGTCATGCTTTTTGTCGATTATATTAGCCAATGATAGACATGCCCATTGTTCAGACCTTTGTCAATTCACTGCTGGATGAATGTCTCCATTCACTGCTGGATGAATGTCGCCATGTCTTTCATGGGGTTTGTTTGATGGCCATGGGTGGCGGTCACAATGGTTTGAGAACGAGATATTCATAGTTTGTCCCAATCGAGACTTCTAAATAACATGCGCCAGGGATTACCCACGCCCAGCGTGCCGGTAATCCTAACGTACCGTCTTGTCGTGTCGTTCTGCACGTTGTCCGACGTTTCGCTCCGCGTCCGAGACCGTGCCGAACTGCACGCGGCACAAAACCGATGACGCGCCGGGAGAGGCCGTACGGCGTAACCATGAACGCCTGCGTGTTCGCACTCCACCGGCGCGCTCGCTTTGCCATCGGTAGCCGTGCGCGCGACGCATTTATTCATTCCTGACGACGCCTGCTGTATATTTCGAGTTTGGGTGTCTCTCTCCCAAGTGGTCGCGTGGATCTTTCTCCAGGTCCTCCGGCGCGTCCCTCCGTATTTAGAATCAACGTCACGCGTTTCGAGTATTTGGCTGCTATACATTTCCACGTGATTACGCCACGTGGTTGAGCTTTCGTTTGTGATAGCCAGGTCTCTTCTGAACAAAGAGCTGCATAGCTCAGTGAGGCCTTACCTGGTAAAATAAATAACTCTTTGGTTCTTTCGGTAAAGTCACGTAGTTAGAAATTAAATAAAACAAATCACGACGTTTCGATCGCAACACAGGCGGTCGTCATCAGGAAACACTTTTGCCTGATGACGACCACTTGTGTTGCGATCAAAACGTCGTGATTTGTTTTATTTTATTTTATTTTCTACCTACGTGACTTTACCGAAAGAACAAAAGATTATGGATTCCTGCAGTCACGAAAGCTTCAAATCAAGATTAAAATAAATAACGTCAATGGTTAGTTCTTGGGTGGAATGTTCTCCGTGTCCTTTTCACGGCACATTTTGGCCGCCGCCCTCAACGCCATCCGCAACGGCAGTTTCCTCGTTTGGAAACTGTGTGTTTCGCGCTGTGCGTGTTGCTGTTTTTTTTAAGTCGGAATGATCACCTTTGCGACTCGATTTGTAGATCGTAAAGTGGAGTCTAACTGGGTCTGCTTCAGCAAGCGGACGAGTGTTGAGTGAATAGGGCGGTTCACAAGGGAGCAAGGAGACTTGGCGCGCTGCGCATTGAGCACCGCTGTAACGGTTGCTGTTGTGTGCAATGTAATTGTGTGTCTGTCATGATGTATACTGTGAAACCTCGATAAACATTGGCGCTTTCTGTGTTATTACGAATCTAAAAAAATCAACCCAGGTCCAGAGTCAACTTTAACTCGGGGGGAGGTCGCCCATTCTCTTTTGCTGCCCCCATTGTCTGGAACTCCCCCGAGCCATCCGTGCCGTCGACTCTCGGCTCGTGTTCAAGTTCAGGTTCCAGATTTGTATCTCTTCTACCTCGGACTTACTGCCTCTCTCTGAAGGATATACAGATTGCCCCCTGTTCCTGTACAGCGTCTTGATATGCGGCTGCATTGAGACGCTGTTATAAATCCACGTTGAATTACATTGCAAAATGCCATTTGCAGAGTCTCAAACAAAATCCCCATTGAAAAAATGTATCAATCATCCAATCAAAATTGCATTTCTTTAAGGGCACCTTTCTGTGAAAAAAAGATTCATAACTCATCGGATTCCTCCAATCTGAATAAAGAATAAGATTCTGAATTCACAAATCCCCCAAAAAATCTGGTTCAGATGTTCCCCCGTAATTAAAAAAAAACTCTGCATTGAGGTTTCCCTGTACATCGCTAACGCGGCAAATGTTTGGTTTGGTCTGAACACGGTTTACTCTCCACAGCGTCGAGCCGCCGAGCTCCACCGGGAAGCGTAGCGCGTGGCTTTACATGCGGCTGGAGCGGGAGACGAGCTTGTGACGCGCAGGCGCCGTCTCCCTCGTTGCCGCCACGACCTACCGCGGCAGCGCCTGGCGCGACGCGCCCGCTTCACGCGTGGCGATAGTCGCGACCCAGAGGTCGTCGTCTTGTTCTCTCCCCCCGTTTATCTGGTTCAACAAATAGGGGTGTAATCGTGGAGCATCGGTCCGTCGGCTAATGTTGTGATTCTCAAGATAGACGAAGGACGCTGGCGTAGCTTCGTCCCCGGTTGTGCCGCGCCACTGTGCGCCGTTGGGGATGTCGCCGCGTGTTGTTCGGCGCGATATCCGGAAATTCACTCCACGCGCTGCTGGGAGATTCTCCGGCTCGTGCAGTGAAATGTGGGACATCGTGCCGAACGATACGCGGCACAACCTGACGGCACGCGTGAGAGATAAACGATACACGCATCGAATCGTCCGTTGAAGAATACAGGGTGTTTAGATCTTAGGATGGTGAACGTATGGGATTGGGCCCCCTCCAGCCTCTAGGAGCCGCTACATTAACCGCAATGTATAGAAAGAAACGACAATCGCAATTGCGACCCCCAATCGTGACAATTCACTGAATCGCGGGGTGAGCGAATCGTTTACACCCCTATTAATATTCTGTTCACACGAAGGATATTGTATTCCTAAAGAAGATACGTTAACTTCTAGATAGTCCACTAATGTGTCTCTACGGGCAGCTGGCGTCGCTTCACAGTATTTGTTGGCATATTTGACCCCCTCGAATCGCCGTGCTATCCTTCAGTTGCTCATCGTTGATCATTCCACTTGTACCATAAGCACGTGCTCTGTCTGCCGCCAAACTCAATCACGCCTCGAACGCGTCGCAAGCATTCCACCGCATTTATTTTCACACACGTCGTCCAATTTACGAGATGGCTCCCTCCCTTGCGTAGTGGCTTGTTGATTTTTTTTGTGATTTTTTTTTTTATCTTCGAGGTAGCGATGTTTATTTTGTAACGTGTCCCACCTCGCCTCCGATGGGGTTCCCAGCAATAGCACGTGCGCTGAGGATGGCTTTAAATGTCGACTTTAACTTGGGTGGGTTATATTGAGTCTGCAATCTTCCTGGACGCGCTTACAGTAAACGATGTGCCGGCACGTTGCAATGAATAAATGATGTAGCCCGCAGTCGGCACGCCAGGATGAGAGAGACCTCCGGCTTTCGTAGGCCAACGGAAATGGCTTTGCTGATGCCCTGACCTTCCGGCAAGCCACTCTAACGTCTGGGGTTATTCGCAATTTCATTCACAGTGTGTCCTCGAAGTACCGGGTTAATTCAGGAGCAGATGCCCCAATAATGTTACATCCATCACTACAAAGCCCTCGTTATTTTCACGAACGCCAGAAATTGGCTCATTTTCAACGCGTATCGTTTTTCACATTGTTTAACTTTACAACAAACTACAACAAAAAAATCGCATGAAAGAAAGTTACACGAAGAAAAAAAAACATGACCGAAATCACCGAAAGTTCCTAACCAATTCTGAACGCACAACCCACAAATCTAGAGCCGTAACTGTGCGCGTGGGGCAGCCCCATGCTGGGGGCTGCGCTGGCGCGTGACGTCACAATGCAGGGTGGAGACGGAGGTCCAAAACAAAAGTCCGCGTGCCTTTTGATCGCCAGGAATGCGGTTTAAAAAGAAAAATTGTTCCACTTTTTTCCCCCCCCCCCAAAAGTTTTTGGTAGTCCACCGAAGAGCCACGGTTATATGCGGGGGGCACGGTACACCCCCCCCTCCCCCCGCCCACGTTATCTCGAGGGCACGCTGTGTATTAGGATATGGGAACGATTGAGTTCTTCTCGGCTTATATTTAAATGCATGAACCCAGTGGAAAAAAGCACATCAATTGATTTCTGTGCGTTTGTACAAAAACAGTTCGGGAATAATCCGCCTGCTCTACATCACCACGACCAGAAATGTGTGGCCACTGCGTGTTGGAAATTTGCAGGTTTTAAAATCCGCCACGGTGCTGCTCGCTTTGCAGCCAGCGCTCATGGGTACGCCGTCAGCTGACTGTCAGAATGCTGTTTGTCTCGACTCTCACCCGTGTGCCCTTCCTTACCCGGGGATCAACTCAGCCGCGGTCAGTCTGGGTCGGTGACCTGGAATATATTTCGGCATCGGGCAGCACGCTGCAAATTCAGTGTGCTGCTTGCGACAGCTGCCAGCTGCTGCTGGTCACGTGCCCCACCTACTTGCATTCAACCAGCGACGTGGAAAATATTGCCGTGGGAAATATTAAGCCCGTACGACCGAGCTGTCTGGCGGTGTGGCATAAGTCACCACACGAGCCCTGATGAGATACATGGTAGCCTGGTGGCGAGTGAGTGGGTCGCCTGTCCCACCACCCAGCCTGGCTTGGCCTGGCCAGCATGTTTGCAACCTAAACATCGCTTATTTCACTGGGTGGCAGCGATAACCGCTTTCATACTGGAATATCAATTGGTTGAATGGAATATCAATCGGCTGAATTCAACTGTTTTGGCAAAATATTCCTCTTTCAACGTTGAGAAATCGCTATTTCTAACCAGGTTTTACCTGTGGTTTCATCAATTCCGTTACACTAACCCGCCTTTATTTCCATTCACGTAGGAAGGACAAGTGCGGTTTAATCAATTTGGTTCCAGCTTGTAAATTTCACACCACTGGGCGTGGTCCTCGGCAGACGAATTGAAAGACCCCACGGTTTCCCCACACGGTACACACCGACAACACTACAGAGTGTGCGCGCTGTCGTGCTTAAGTATGATCGTGCCCAGTCTGGATGAATGTCGCCCTGGTCACTCGCAAGGCTGCCGTGTTGACCTTGCCTCCTGTGTGATGGCACAGGCCGGAGTGATGCATGCCTATCCCAGCTTACACCGGCGTGGACGAACAACCGAATTACAGTACCCGAGTTGCTTCCAGTTGACGGTGGCAACGTGACAACAGGCTTAGGTTTTCGCGTTGGTGCTGCGTGAAGCTCTCCGATGCGTTCTCGGGTCGTACCGCGCGTTGTTCGGCACGATGTGCGACGATTAACCCCCACGTGTCGCAAGCTATTTTTTTTTCAGGAACGGAACAGGGTTCTTGAGGAACTGAAACGAGAATGTTGTTGTTATCGGGTTGTACTGCAAATTATTTATTCGGCACGAGGTCGCACGTTTCGCTGCAACGCACTTGGGGAGATTTCTTTTTATTCAGGAGCGAGCATTTTAAGTTCGGGGACTGAATTGAGATCCCAAAGAAGCTCCCGTCACGTGCAGAGAAACGCCAAAACATCGTGCCGGACAGACCCCACGCGGTAGGGCAACCCGAAAATATACCGTAAGAGAAGCTTTAACTTGGGGCGATCACTCTTCTGCTGCTGCTACCGCCGCCAAGACGAGGCCTCCAATGTGTGGATGTGAGATCGTGATATTGTGAGAGACAGATACAGAGAGCGCCTTTTTTGATGTTCACTCCGAATGATCGGCTTTATGGGCATGAATATCTGTGAGCATGCAAGGGCAGACTGTGCCTCCCCAGCCGGCATCGCGTACCAGTCACGTGTGTGTCGCATTGTGCATCGGTCGCGAATGGAACTGTGAACGCGGCAGGGCATGGCGAGTCGAGTGTTTTTTTTGCAGGGGGATTCAAACAAATAAAAGGTCTGCCAGGGTCCCCTTGTGGCAAATTGTGTCCAGGGCCCAAAATGTTGTTGTTCAAGAGTTGTCGGCAGAATGATTTTGGGCCCAGTGCTGCCAAAGACCTTTCCCCGCATTATTCGCTGTACCTGCCACCCCCGGGTACAACAACAGCGCTGCTACAATGAATGAATTTCCGTGGTCAATGTAACGTATATTCTTTTTTTAGATAAATAAAGATGAACAATTTACGACTGCTTTGGGGATATTTGTCTCTTTTTTAATCACTTTCAGCAACCTCGCGCCGGCTCAAGCTTTGCACGGCATTCCGGAAAAAAAGATTTCATAACCTAAGTAGTACGGAGTTGGCCAAATTGAATGAAGGCGATCGTGTAGACTTGGCAGTGATTTTCTACTCTGGCGAACCGTTGTAGAATCTATTGTGAGACGAGATGAACAGAGTTTATGGATGTTTTATGAAGTGATGTTAAAAGTTATCATTCATCTCTCCCCTATTGACTGATTGAATGATTTGTCACAATTTAGAATTCTTAACAATGCTGTGAATTGCAGTGCCTCTAGTGGGTGATGTGAACCCATCACATTCAGAATCCTTATTTTAACTGGAGCAATCCGATGAGCTATAAAGCTCTTTTTCACGGATGTCCAATAATGTACAGTACTGAATAAATGAACAATACTGAATAAGTGAACAATAACACACGAGTCTCTTCCCCTTGACAATTCGATTATTAGTCACGATTCGTCACGATTCGTGGTTGCGATTCGAATCAAGAGCCGAGTGTTCACCACGCGGTGGTGGAACGCAGCGTCACCGTCGGCCGCAGGCGCGGCGGTCGCGCGGATTGCAACCAACGCCGGTCGGTTAGCACGACTCGTCGCGTGATGAGCGAGCGTGGGAATCGATTTGAATCCCTTCATTTAAATCGCTTCTACTGGACTTTGTAGCTCATCGGATTCCTCCAGTATAAATATTCTGATTCTACCCGAATGCGACCGCAGTCCCACGATCCAACTACTGACGTCAGTGCTCGTCATCTCTGTTCGGTTGTTGAATCAGAATCTTTGCTTAGACTAGGGGTCGGCACGGTTTGAACCGACTCAAACTGGTTTCAAATTGAGCAAACCAAACCAAACCAGCGACGACTGAACCAAACCAAACCAAAACCAAACCAAACTAAGCTAAACCAAACCTCTTGAGTTGGCTTGAACCGAAAAGATGCGCGGCAAACAATATTCTCATTCAATACAAATATCAAGTGTATTAATCGCTAATTTCTACGCAGGCTTTCTTCATATTGAGATTCACTAGCAAGTACTGGACGACGATGTCGTCCACAGCCATCTCCTCAAGCTTGGCACGCCCAATGTCCTTGAACGCAGTGTGGTAGTTCAATGGCAGTGAAACCCCAACACTAGGCAACATCCGCGCCCACGAGCGCACACACATCTCGGCCTTGAACGTGCACTTGTGCAGGTTTGGTCGGTCGAGAAAGGAGCGCTTGGCGGCCGAGTTTGCTCTCTGGGAGGGCACGGACGACGCCGGGATAGGCAAATAGTCGAGGGCCACGCGTCGTAGGCGCGGGTACTTGCCGCCGTACAGCTTCCACCACTCGACGACGTCCATGCTCAGGCCCTGAGTCGGCTCAAGCAGGAAGCGGTCGACCTCGGAGGCGGCGCCGTCGTGAGCGTTGGGCGCGTAGACCATGTCAAAGAGGATGTTAATGCCGCCACGCGGCGCCGCCTTCGGCGCCGCGTCCGTCGTCAACGCTGGGTAGCGCTGGTTGAGAATGTCCGTCATCATGTCCTTGATATTGCTGTACTCGGCCTTTACAACCAACCAAACTAGTTTGAGCCGGTTCCACCCTGTCCGAGCCAAACCGAGTCGGTTTTCGTAGCCCCAAACCAAACCGAACCAGTTCAAACAGAGCCAAACCAAACCGATTTGGTTCGGTTCAAACCGCGGTTTGGTGGTTTGAGCCAAACCGTGCCGACCCCTAGTTTAGACCGGAGGAACCCGATGAGCTATATTGCTCTTTTTCATCAAGTAATAACAAATACATGTGTAATGACGACTTGACACACTTCTCTTGAGATGGCACTTTATTAAAGACACGTTCACTTGATATCAGGCGGAGACCCCCACTGCAACAGCCCCGAGTCTCCTGCACATCTCCACGCCCCTCCTTCTCGCTGACTCTGGACGCTCGCTCCACCGGTAGACCCCACCGGCAAACTCCACCGTTCTCTTCCGTAGCCTGACCACGCTCCCTTCTCGATAATTCCCGTAGCCACCAGTCCCTTCGCACTCACAGCTGACTCCCCTGTCATTACCTCCCGTGGCCACTAGTCCCTTCACACTCACAGCTGACTCCCCTGTCATTACCTCCCGTGGCCACCAATCCCTTCACACTCACAGCTGACTCACCTGTCATTACCTCCCGTGGCCACTAGTCCACTTACACCGCATGTAGACTCTACTGTCATTACACAAGTCACACAAAATGTCAAGAGTGGCAATTGAACACGTACTTGCCTTACCGTCAATGTATACATTGTATATGGGCGGCTTAGAAGACGAGCTGGGGTTGAGCAGGGCACGAGGCCTCGATGGTCGAGGCGAAGTCCGGAGTGGCGGCCAAATCCCCACACAGTCTTTCATCCAGCAGTGGACTGCAAAAGTACCTGACCATCAAGCATGTGCATGATTTCCTGATACAAATTCTTATATATTAAAAAAAAATTATAGTACGTGTTAACATTTAATTCGTGACGTTCATATGAGTGTTCACTGAATATTAAATTAAAGGGGATTTTGCCAATACGATTGTATCGGCGTCCGTGGCGTAATACGCGATATTTTCGAGGTCGATGATCTAGTTGCGTGACGTCATCGCATCAATATCAATCCGTGACGTTCCTGCCGTACCGTGACGCCACGAGACTGGCGTGACGTCATACGCAACATCCCTCGCGGCATGGGTGGTGGTAGCGAGGCCCCTGACGCCATTAAACGTCACCGCGCCGCGGAATTCGGCGTCACCACACCTGTGGACACGTGTTGACGTCACCGCGCCTGTGGACCCGTGTGACGTCACCGCGCCTGCGGACCCGTATGACGTCACCGCGCCTGTGGACACGTGTGACGTCACTGCGTCTGTGGATTCGTGTGACGTCGCCGCGCCTGTGGACACGTGACGTCATTGCGCCTGTGTACCCATGTGACGTCGCCGCGCCTGTGGACTCATCTGACGTCACCGCGCCTGTGGACCCGTGTGACGTCACCGCGCCTGTGGACCCGTGTGACGTCACCGCGCCTGTGGACCCGTGTGACGTCACCGCGCCTGTGGACACGTGTTAACGTCACCGCGCCTGTGGATCCGTGTGACGTCACCGCGCCTGTGGACCCGTGTGACGTCACCGCGCCTGTGGACCCGTGTGACGTCACCGCGCCTGTGGACACGTGTTAACGTCACCGCGCCTGTGGATCCGTGTGACGTCACCGCGCCTGTGGACCCGTGTGACGTCGCCGCGCCTGTGGACCAGATTTGACGTCAGGAGAAGCACAGCGGCGCAGTCCGTGCGCGGCAGCGGTGCTGCAATCGACGTTCGCGAACATGGCCGACAAATTCTCAAGGTTCAACGACGATCGCGAGTTCCAAGTACGTGTCCTTGTCGAGCGCCGCTGACGACGCGAACCCGTCGTAGAGCGCGGCGGAAACGAGGCAGGGAGAGATGCGAGGCGACGCGGAGTCGAGGCCTCAGCCCCCCCCCTCCCCGCGCCCGTCCACACCGCCTCTCGCTAAGGCCGTGGTCCCGCGCCCTCCACATTTCCCAGTCCGCTTAGGCGCCACGAGTTGTTATGCGCGGCTCTGATTGGCTCCCCGTGCGTCACGTGTAGTGAAGGTAGCCAATCGCGCACCGGCAGTGACGGCCGCCTCGCCTATTCGGCGTGGGAAATTGAGTCGCCGTTTGCCGCTGGGGCGTGGGTGATGGCTACGGGGTTATCGCTACGGGCTTCGCACGGCCAGGGGTTGAGGTGTCGGCACCGGTGTCCTCGGCCGAGGGATTGAGGAGTGGAGGGTTCGAGTGGCCGGGCAGGCCTCGGGTGGAGGAGAGATCAAGGCGGGCGGCGGTGGAGTGAGGAGACAATGGGGGCATGGCCGCGGGGCAGCTCCGGGCAAGGACGCGGGGCCCGGGGTGGCAGGGCTAGGGCAGGGAGGGCAGTCTGTGGTGAGGGCAGTCTGTGGTGAGGGCAGTCTGTGGTGAGGGCAGTCTGTGGTGAGGGCAGTCTGTGGTGAGGGCAGTCTATGGTGAGGGCAGTCTATGGTGAGGAGGGCAGTCCGTGGTGAGGGCAGTCCGTGGTGAGGAGGGCCGTCTGTGGTGAGGGCAGTCCGTGGTGAGGGCAGTCCGTGGTGAGGAGGGCAGCCCGTGGTGAGGGCAGAGAGCAAGGCAGCACGGGTCTTGATATCGCACGGCGTTCATAGAGCAGGGAAGGGGAGCCAAGAGGGATTGGGGACAATTTTGCGTTTAGGGAGATTAGTAGAATGTAGCAGGGAGAGGGAATTCTACAACGCAGTATGGAGATGTTGTTAGTCCTGTACAATGGAGCAGGGGACGATAGTTGTGCAGTGTAGCATCGAGACAGCATTGCAATGCCAGACTCAAAATAAGTATGTATCCTGGAGGAATCCGATGATCTATAAAGCTTTTTTGACACAGCTGTACATGGAGATAGCAGGACAATTAAGCAGGGAGAAGTATTAGGGAGAGAGAGGAGTAACTTAGATGAGAAGCAGGCGAAGGGAAGCGGTGGAAGGAGGAGAGGGGTGAATGGCTGCTTGCTGATCAAGGCCTTGAAAGTGGCTGGCAGACGCGGCCCCTGGCACGCACTGCAGCAGCAGCGGCAGCGGCGGCGGCGGCATGGCCACGTCTCTCTGGCAGCAGCAGCAGCAAGACGAGACGAGCCCTCCTCGGTCTCTGCCACCGCTCGAGGAGACACGGAGCCTTGCGTCCTTCCTTCGTGGACGACTGTCGGGCAGGCAGCTGACAAAATACGTGCCTGGGTTGTGTGTACACGTCGTCATAAGCAAATCCTCGCACAGCACACAAACGAGTGCGAGTGGCGATTGTGTACGGGTCCAAGCCAGCCGATGTTCTAATTATAGTAGGTTCGTTTAGAGCAACCTAATCGCGCGTTAAAACGTGTGTACGCTTTTGTAATCAATACCCATGC